TATTTGTTACATAGAACACCAAGTTTTCACTGTCAAAATTTTGAGGAAAATATATTTTGGTTAGTTATATTTCTGAATAGTCAAGACAAACTAACTGTAAATGTACTGAGACCTTAGAACTTATATCTCAAGGTGGGTGGCGCATTTACGTTGTAGATGTCTATGGGCTCCGGTAGTCACTTAACACCAGGTGGGCTATGAGCTCGTCCACCCATCTAAGTAATAAAAAAAATACATAAAAACATAATTTTCATCAACTTTCGAATAATTTAAAAATTTTGAAACATAATATATTTCAAAACCGCTATGAAAAATAATATTTTTTTACGACGACCATCATACCAACATAATCAAAATATATTTTAATTTATAATAATATAATAAAATACTCAGCTTGCTATTAAATCATGTTTATAAACATAGATAGATGGCATAGATTATAAAACTTTAAAAATTAATGGGATATCAATTCTTAATTATATCCATATCTAATTTCCACGTTACGTCAAAGCTCTGGATTTGCAATTGATCCAGTTTATTGATACTTTACGGAGGTGTATTTTATGTTTACTAGCATAGATAATACACTTGATATTCGAGATTTACTAGTCCAATGACATCATGCCAATAACCTATATTAAATATAGAAAACTTATTGTATAAAATATTGTATGTCCCTTTCATAAGAAATAACCGTGAATTTTTACGTCAAAAAATTCGTAAGCACAATTACGTTATGTACACATAGCAGCCCGATCCATTATGGTAACACGGTTTCCGATTTTGTTTTAGAAATAATTTTATAACTGATGATTGTTTTACACGTGTCGCTTTTCGTCCAACATCATTACTCATCTTCTTACAAGAAACGACTTTCACGAAGCTTTCAAGCTTTTAAATTATAAAAAAATTGTGTTTCATTAAGTATTTAAGACACGGTTTATTTTTTTTTATTATCCTAAATTTACAGATTAAAAAGATATTAATAATTAATAACTTCAAAAAAACACAGAATTCGATAGGTTATTCGTACGAAAAAGTACACTCAGACCTCAAATGTCAAATATTCTAACAGATATAACACCACCCGGGACACGTAACTGGATCCCATAGTAATATAGCCACTAAGCACCAAGCGATCGAGGCTATTGAAAGCTTTTTTACAGAATATCTCCCCAGATATACCTCAAAAAACTTCTAGTTTTCTTTCACTTTTTTGTGATTTATCATTAAATAATATGTCCGGCTATTTACTGGGGATAGTTGACCCCAGTCAGTTCAAAGTACTATCTCTACATTACCTTAACTCTTCTGTCCTTAATAGTCGTTTCCCTGTTTAATTATTTGTGCCCTACGTTGCATAGCATTCGTGGTTCCAGTGAGAGTAAAATTGTTCAAGACTATTACTGCTACTGTTGCTCATGTTTCAAGGAGAACATCACTTTGTTACCTTAAAAATCTTCGCGGCTTAATACTAGGGCGCCGTGACTGTAGCACGCTAATAATTATATTCATTTGTGATGATTTTTATCACTGAATAGAAAGAATTATAACTAGCCAGGCAGTTTTTATCGTTCACCATAGTAAGTACGGACACTTATTTGGTAAATGCTCTGTATATTTATTTGCATCACTAACAATTTTAATTGTAAGTTAAACAAACAAAATACTCAATAAATAATCTTCTTCTTCTATATATATAAAAATGAATTGCTGTTCGTTAGTCTCGCTAAAACTCGAGAACGGCTGGACCGATTTGGCTAATTTTGGTCTTGAATGATTTGTGGAAGTCTAGAGAAGGTTTAAAAGGTAGATAAATATGAAAATGCTCAGAATTAAATAAAATAATTTTGTTTTTCCTTTTATGTGTCCCCCGTCGGACGGATTCCTTTTGTTTGTTTTAAGTTTATTTTATACAAAAGTTTAGGTCTTTTGTTTATCGATTGAGGTACTACGAAGTCTGCCGGGTCAGATAGTTATAAATAAAAAAGTAAAATGAACCTTTAGAGAATAGCAGTCACATTGTTATCACAGTAAATTCTCACAGTTTCCTGTGTTCATCGAGTTGAAACAGTTTTTGTGTCAACTTTCCGAGCAAGTGTGAATTCATTACAATTAGCGTGCATCGGGGAAAGTTTGAACGAAACATACAAACTGCCTTTTGTCGTATTTTATTAATTGAAACTGAAATTAGTAATAAGTTCAATTGATATGTGTATATATTCTTTCGACAAAGTATTTGAATCAATTAATAAAACACAAAATCCATTACTGCAAGAAAACAAATATTATTATAGAAGACTGTTAGTGAAGATAAAATGGAATCATTAGGAAATATTGTTAGCCAGCTTTATTCATACAGATATCATCTGTTGAAGTGATGTACTATGGTCTATAAATTATATTTTTAAGAAAACGGTAATTAGAATAAAATAAGAAACTATTTGAAATATTCCTAATTTATTCTCAGCAAAAAGTAGATAAATCATCGCATACATAAACCAATTTAGAAATTAAAAAAAGTTTGTAACATCGATTACATGAAGGTTATTAGATCATTGAATTATTATCATTATACTTCTGAAGTAAATAAAAAAGCATTTTTAATTATTTTTTCTAATGAAATTTATTAATTTTCCCAGTTTAGCAGTTTAAACTCTGCTACTTTTCGTTACAGTAATTTTAGTTCAAAAAACAAAAGAAAACATCGCTACGATATCTTGTTCTTTTTAATATTTCTTCTTTATGCTTTATATTTTATATGTTTACATAAATTTCAATAAAAACAAGCATGGCTTTGAAACGTTTCGTTATACACACACTTTGTCAAAGGATGTAAAAAATTTGGGTTGCGATAAATATAAAAACCTTTCTGTTTCGTTTGAAAGCGCTTGTCTACGCCACAATCAGCTTTTATAACATAAAATGTTCCAAGTAGTTTATGTATTCTTAGAATTAAATTTTTTTTAACTTCAAAGGCAATTTGTTGAATTTCGTTTAGCGCACATGTTATTATGCTCTGGCTCTGGTTTAACATTGGACGTGTATGTAGATTTTTCTAGTGGCCCATCGACAAAGAATAGACGATAAAGAAAAAGTGCAAAGGATATGTCAGGTTTGTTTATTTAACAAGGTGGGTGGCGCATTTACGTTGTGGATGTCTATGGGCTCTAGTAACCACTTAACACCAGGTGGGCTGTGACGTCATCCACCCATCTAAGCAACAACAACAAAAACCTCCCGGTGAAGGTGATGGGGCGATTGGAATGGGTCAGTTTGATGTAACTGTTGAAGAGCGACCGGTAGGCAGTGTATCGCAGTCTGACTCGGTTGGTTCTGATCCGGTGGGGTACTCCGGATCACCAACGGTACCGTTCGGTGTTGGCCCGACGGGCTGCTGTACCGTGACAGCCGACGTAGGGTCGTCATCGATTCGCCTAGACGATTCCGGCAGCCGGGCGTCCTGAGATGGGCTGCGCATCTGGATGTAGTGTTGATCGTGGTAATTCCCCGCCTGGGTTTCCTCTCTCTGGGATCGGGCATTTGGGCAGAAATGTAAGGGAATGTTCTTTTAGTGGGTGGGCCCTTACTATGTATTTTCGGCCAATTAGTCCCACATATCACGCGCGACCCTTGGCGCGGGTACCACATGCGAGGTTAGACTCCAGACTCAAAAAAAAAACGTTTACTTGTAACATACAACACACATACACAGCTATTCTTACAGTTATGAAGTCGTCGTGGCCTAAGGGATAAGACGTCCGGTGCATTCGTGTTGAGCGATGCGCCGGTGTTCGAATCTCAGGCGGGTACCAATTTTTCTAATGAAATATGTACTCAACAAATGTTCACGATTGACTTCCACGGTGAAGGAATAACATCGTGTAATAAAATTGAAACCCGCAAAATTATAATTTGTGTAATTACTGGTGGTGGGACCTCTTGTCAGTCCGCACGGGTAGGTACCACCGCCCTGCCTATTTCTGCCGTGAAGCAGTAATGCGTTTCGGTTTGAAGGGTGGGGCAGCCGTTGTAACTATACTGAGACCTTACAACTTATATCTCAAGGTGGGTGGCACATTTACGTTGTAGATGTCTATGGGCTCCAGTAACCACTTAACAACAGGTGGGCTGTGAGCTCGTCCACACATCTAAGCAATAAAAAAATAAAATAAAAAAAAAAAGTTAAATAATATTTTGAAAAAATTGTATATGAATTTGAATCTTGAGGTATCAGTAATTTTGATCGAATTTAGAACACCAGGCATAGGCTAGTGTTAACAAAAGTAGTTTGAAACTACGACTTATGTCTAAAGACAAAGAATACACTTTAAAATATCTATTAAACTTATATCTACATCAGGTGAGCCGTGAGTTCTTATGTCAGTTTGATAAACATACCATCAATGTAATGTTTCTTTGTGCAACAATAAAAGTAATGCTACGTGACACCGGCTTAAGCTTTTAATTCGAGAATTCTAATGTATTTTGTAAATGCACTAGTGGTGATGTAACTTATATTATACGGGTCTCTGGATTGACAGGTCAAAGGTAGGCTGATAGGCAAATAGGCTGATTATGTACAGTTTTTATAGAAATCTCGGAGGCCGACAGGATCATTTTCTATTTAAGAATGAACGGAAAGTAAAAGGTGTTCAACACATGCGACAACATGTTAGCTATTTTACTAGTGGTAGGACCTCTTATGAGTCGCACGGGTAGGTACCACCACCCTGCCTATTTCTGCCGTGAAGCAGCAATGCGTTTCGGTTTTAAGGACGGGGCAGCCGTTGTAACCTTAGAACTCATATCTCAAGGTGGGTGGCGATATTTACATTGTAGATGTCTATGGGCTCCGGTAACCACTTAAGACCAGGTGGGCTGTGAGCTCATCCAACCATTTATGCAATAAATAAAATAAAAATATATCTACATAGCACAAACGACGACGGTTGTAGTTTCCAACCATTCACAATTATAAATTAAATGTTTTTCCACAGAATCGACTTCAACAACCCGACAACGGATAAGCCAGCGAACTTAGCTAATTCCGCCGTCCTAAGAATGTTAGAAGAGGAAGAGCGTAACCGCAAAGGATACAGTGAGTTATAAACATTTTATTAAATTAACCAAAATAATATACTATACATATTAATATTACAAAATATACTAAAGGAGAAAAGAATAAATTTAATAAATATAAAAAAAAATAAAAATAAAAAATTTGGTGCAGTTATGTTTTGGTTAAAATTACTACATATATATTAAAATGGTATTTATTATTTATTCATTTCTGATGTTGTATGTATAGTAAAATCAAGTAAAGCTACTCAAACTGAATTGAACTTTAATTAAAAATAAAAATTCGAACCTCAATTCATTTGAACGTAACTTGAACAAAAAGGTAATAATAATATTATAAAGATAAAGAAGGTTCCTTTTAAATTCAAATTTTTCGCTGAAGCGTGGCAAAGGACTTTAATTTGGAACCTGATAGTAAAAACGGTGTTTGTAATTATTTCGAGAACCGAAAACATTTTTTATCAAAGATAATTTTTTAAATATGATTCTTTTAAGGAAATATCTTGGGGCTATCCCTTTAATATTGGCTCTTAATAGTCACAAATGTCTTTTATAAAGCTTAGGACAAAAAATACGTCAAAAGAAATTCAGACCAATATTTTCTTAATACGACGCAGTTTTATTAATTATAATGGGTGTGTCGTGTGAAATCATCAGAAAGAAAATAAGGAAGTCCTTAAAACAAACAAAAAAATACATTGTTTTGGACGATCTTAAAGGTTTAGTCATGCAAAAGCAAAACAAGAATTCATATACCTGATTTTACTATTGGCTTAAATGGCTAGATAGACTAGAAAACTCAGCCAGTTACCCTAATCATAGGATGAAGTCTGTATTTTCATTTGAAAACGGCTGTCCCATCCTTAAAACTGGAATGCACGAAAATACCTGTTCACTGCTTTACGTACTGAGTTTTTGTTCAAGTATCTCCTTGCTTATTGCTAAAACAAAGCAATTATGCATCCCAGTCTGTAGAAGCGAGGTAGCCGTTATGGATTTAATTTTTACACAATGTTATTCCTTTGTTATAGAAGGCATTCTAAACGTTACACGAATTTTAACGCTAGCATAGTCCCATTACTCAATTATTATACTATTATAATTAATAGTATTTGTCGCTACGAATATTTATAGTAATAGTTTATCTCTGCTTTACCAGAATTGGATGTAACACAAATCCGGGCTATTCTAGATACGATGGTTCACGCTAATCATCTATTTGACTCGTATTGGCCTCCTGAGAAATCGAAAACGCAGATTTCTAAATGTTGGGACAGTGATATAGAAAAACACGCCAAAGCTTACTCAGAATTTATTAAGACTTCCAAAGGTACTTATTACAAAGTCATTAGTTCAGATGGCGTTACCCACATATTAGTACCATCCGTCATGTTCATTGCAAAAACGTTTTACTGTGTTATTTTAGATCGTTCTTGTACCAGCGTTTGTTTTGTTTTTCCGAAGTCAAATATTTTCAGAATACATGTTCGCCACGTAATAATTAAACATTAGAATTCATCTGATTTGTGGTAATGTTTTTCGTGACTCATATTGTTCTTGTCTAAAGATAATATATATTATATATATTTTACTGTTGTAGTTTATAGCAATTATAAGTTATTAACATACGAAATTCTGTAATAACTAAGATCTGCCAGACACTTAAATGTACCGTGAGGATGATTCATTAAACTAGATATTATTTATGAAATACAAATCTATTTTCATAAGAGTTTAATGCCCGTATTTATTCTCCCTTTTGTCTGTCGTCTCTTGTTTGGCAGAAATCCGCCCACCGGTGACGGAAACGTTCATTAGTGTAAAGTATTTGGCAAAGATTGGAAGCAGCTATGTGGCTTTACTTGCTCCTTTTACTGATAGTTCATAGCCGACAGCGAAGAAGCACTAACGAACGACATGCCTGAGACAATATTCGTAGGTAAAGTGACTTAATATAACACGTAATCGAGGCATTAAAACAAAATTACTGCTTAATCGCGTTTTTTTTTGTTTTCATTTTATAATTTCGGTCTTTTCGAACACATTAATATATTTATGCTATTTTAATAAAATAAAAAATCAGACTATTTGTTTGTTCGTCATCTATGTACTCGTGCGTATTCTCGATAGTAGAGTACAATTTTTGTTTGATACTAAAAACATTTTGTACCATCAATAAATTACGAAAAGTTTATTTTTAATGTATATTCATCTTAACACTGTTTTCAACGGGTGTTTAACAAAAATTCAATCGTAATTGCAAATGAGCGAGATCAGGTTTAACTTGTCTACTTATAAAAGTGTGTTAATATCTTATGAAATGAGAAACTTTACGCTCACTACTGAAAGCCACGGAAGAGTTATGTATTTTAATTATTTTAATGTAAAGTCTTGTTTGATAGCGCAGAAATTGTTTTTATAACTCCTGTTGTTTAATTCTCGCCGACATTTATATAATAATTCGTTAAAGAAAAATCGTAAACAAGCTGCATTCTTCATTCTCTTAAAAAGCAACCTTAGATGACGTGAAAGTTATATCTATAATATTATCTATATATTAATACGTGAAGTAAAAATTTTGTACACCTTTTTACGAAAATTGCGCGGACGGAGGAGTATGAAATTTCCCACACTTATAGAGAATATAGTGCAGAATGATATTTTTTTTTTATTATGCATTAATAATACACTAAATTAATAAAAAAAACATTACACACACTACCATGTATTTGACACACACATATATTATACTATACATTATGTTTATTGTCAAACGTTTGTTATTGCTTATAGTCTGTGGTCAAATTGAAAATAGGTTAATATTATTTGTCTATAGTGTAGTTTTGGCGAAATCTGTGATTATAGAAATATTTGACGATTATGAAGTCTTTGACAATAGAACCATAATATAATATTTTTCCAACTTATAATATCAATTAATCTAGTATAAAATAAATGTTCGTGGTATATCCTTAAATATTATATTATTCGGTCTAGAAGTTTAATTATAACCCCAAATGCTTTGAATAAAAAACACGTATCGTTATCGTGATATAAAAAAAACTTCCGTGACCACGAAATGTGTAAAATGTATTCCAAATGTCGGAAATAACGAAATGAAAATATAATAAACCCTAGACTAGATTAAACCGTAACAGAAGTGTTCGTTATATCTACGACTGCCGAAACCTGAAAAGAAAACTAAATTGTTGTATTTATTGTGGTAGCATATGTATAAATGAAGAAAACTGATACAAAAACAATTTCATAAAAGCATTTGAACATTCTTTCGGAAGTTTTCTTATCAAAACGTAATATTTCTCTTTAGCCGCGAAGCTTAAAACTATTTTAAAAATACTTGCATACCTGCAATGCAATGTGCAAACAAAATTGACGAGCAACGTTTTAGAGTTAAGGCGTTTATTTTTTTAAAGCAACCCGAGAACATAAGTCAGCATCAGAGAGATCTGTAGATATTCACAAATATTGACCTTGATCTGCGGCTTAAAAATAAAAGAGGTGTTTGTTTGACGTCATCGGTAAAATTATTTCTATGAGTCTCCTCTCGGGTCGTTATTCAGTATGAATCAAAGTTTATTTTAGAGGCAGGTGCTGAAAATGCGCGCGCGACAAATGAGTCGCGTGAGTTTACATCAGGTGCGCACTATTTTCAGTGGTTTCGACAATAATACATCAAAATAAAAATGTTAATCACTTTCGATTTTGACATTGAGGTTGTGTTCGAAAAAGTTTTCATACCGCTGACTGACGATGGTAAATAAATGACGTCTCAATATGGCCGCCGCTGTTGTTTCTTCTGTATGTGTAATAAAAGCTGGTACATACTGACAATAATTTATAAAATTAATCTTACTAAAGCTAGTTTCTGCTTTTAATTTTATATATTAAATAAATAAGATAACGCAATTATATTTACAAGTATTTTCATTTCAAGTAATTTTCAAAGGAACTTTTTATCGATGTGGGCCTTACGACGGTTTTTAGTTAAAAAAAAAATATATTAAGCCCGCTTTATAGTCAAATGAGTAAGATAATTGCCACAGCCTTCCCTTGAGATATTAGCCATTAAACTGCACTAGCGTTTCCTTCGTGTTATCTGAAACTTCGTCCGGGTAGAGAGTTGGCTTTCAATATCAAATTGTCTATCCAAAATTACATTTCTTATATCTTCATGTATGTTTTTTTTTAGATTCTAAATGTTTATTTAAAGTGAAATTAATCATCAACGGTTTTACTGGCAGTGGGATGTCTTGTGAGCACGCACGAGTATCTACCGCCGCCCTGGCTATTTCAGCCGTGAAGCAGTAATGCGTTTCGGCTTGAAGTGTGGGGCGGCGGTTCTACTGTAAAAACTGAGACTTAGAACTCGTGTCCCAAGGTCGGTGGCGGCATATACGTTGTTGATGTTTGGGCCTCTTATTACCACGCGGGCCGTGAGCTGATCAATTCATCTAAACAATAAAATACTATTCTGAAATGAATGGCGTTGTTATTTTCTAAATTTAAATTTCATATATGGAATTGAAAAATGAATGATTATATCTTTCGATTAGTTTTCTGTGTAGTTCTTTTACTTTAATGTGAGCTTCTGTAAAGTTTTACGTTCCATTTCCCATAAATGACAATCAGGAAGAACCTACACGAAAAGTTAAGGTCAAATCGTGCGTGTACTAATAAATTTTTTTGGTTTGATTCGCGGGCCCACTCAATCTGTATCATTTGCGAGCGATGCTGATAGAGTGGGGAGTCCTAAATATGTGCGATCCCGAAATATAAAATGCGGTAGACATTTGTGCTCAGGTGTGCGAGCCAAATAGTCAAACGGTCGGGAAGAAGCGCGTGCCACGTCCAGACAGACCGAATTAACTGTGAGTTGCATTTCATAGTTGCATTTGATTAACGGTTAGAGAAATCATTGGTAATAGCGTCTGGGTTACACTCCAAATTGATAAAAATTTTATTGAAAAAAAAGACTATCACGACTATAATACTAAAATGAGACCCTTTCGTGATTTATGGCAAATATTTGTCTCAAACTATTTGTATACTCAATTAATAAATTAATAATAAAAACATGAATTAAATTAAGTTATAATAATATATGAACATCAGTTATAATATTACAGTTATAAAAAATGTGCGTTATTTTTTTGCTGCCGGTGGGTACTCTGGGGAAAATTTTCTATGTGATTTTCCTTTTACTTATTTAGACCATGAGCTACTAGCAAAGACACTACAAGTTACAAATACTGAACGAGGAAAATGTTGAAAATATAGGAACATGAAAGTAACTCGGCCACGAGCGCCTTAATTATTTAGATGCGTAACAGTTAGTCGCCTTATCGTCCTATCTCAAGTATTAGCTTAAAGAGATTCTCAGTCGTATTTTCTATTTCTACCGAAAAAGTCACCTGCTCCGGCTTTAGGACTTGGATTATTTTAGGATTATTTCAATGCGACCGAGATGGGCCTAATGTCTCAAAGCGGACGGAGGAATTCACGTTGTTGCGTTTTTGGTCTTGCTAAGCGTTTAACATCAAGTGGATTTTAAATGAATCAATCCATCTACACGATTTAAACAATTTAGAATATGTAACGAAATTATTCAATCTAAGTTGATTTCGTATAAGCTATCCTGTCAATTTTCACTTTAATTTTTTTACACGATAATAATTGTTCTAAAATAGTTTTAATCATAAAAATGTGCGAAGGCAATGCTTATTTCAAAAGGGAATCTCATCCTGCATAGCTGAGAGTAGATCAAACCGGACTACGCTTTCATTAATTCGCGACTCATGTAATATTTATGTAATAGTAATGATTTCATTCATTCATGATGTAACATCGTGTGTAAAAATTGAGAATCGTATTTTTTTTCTTTGTCGAACTTGTCGAAAGAGTTCGAGGTGCAACCGAGCCCATAGACATAGCTCACTGAGCTTCTCACTTTCCTGAATGAGTCCCGATTCCGATCCGGTGGTAGATTCAGCAAAGTATTGCTCTTCCTAGGGCTAGTGTTAGCAAGTTCTCCCAAGTTGAGTTCTGTGAGCTCACCTACCAAATCGCGCGTAGCTGGAATATAGCCCTTACGCTATTAGCGATTAGGTAGGAAAAAGCATAGTTAGGTAAACTTATTGTCTGTTCTTCACATCAGGAACAAAAGCAAACCAAGAACCAAGCTAAGTTTGTTTGACGAAATTCAAAAAGTATCTTTTTTCAAATATGTCACGAGAAACAAATAATATAACAGCAAAGAATTTGTTATTCTTTCGATGGGCTGGCATTAATCCAATAACGTGGAATTGAGCTAATTTAAAGGAAGATGCCTCATATTATTTCAAAGTGTTGAAAGCTCGGTAACTGAGGCGCGACGCAACTACAGCTTTACAGTTCAGAATGTTTTAACACATTATTTGTGGAAAATATTTCAATTGACATTTGTTTTATTAAGTACATAGTTCATTTTGAACTACACTGAACATCTAGTATACAAAAGAATCGAGTGTTGGACCTCACGTCTCATGCCGCTATTCATATAGTGATTATCTATGGGCCTCGATAACCATATAACACCACGTAGGACCAAAGCTTAATCGCACACCTACCTATGCTATTGAGTATCTAGACTGTTCGAACGTAGATATTTAATGGTATCATAAATTTTGACGACACATTATATATTTCAAGTTTACGAGCACAGATGCACATCCAATTCGTAACGTCTAAAATATCTTCTAGTAGAGTTCACGAGTAGTACATATGTTCGATTTTACATTTTGCAGTTGCTTGCTGGTTCATTCATAATTTTAAGTGGTTTTAGTAATTTACTTGTGGCTGGTAGCCATTATACAACGCAAGATATTTGACAGATGCCTGAATCTCGCTACGATTTTTTCAAGATAAGCTTGCATATATACAAGTTCCGTACGACAGCATTCGGACCCGCTCGGTGGATGATCTTCCCTTTGTCGTTTAAGCCTCCAAACTGGTGACCCCGACGTGGTCTTCCCTTTGTCGTTTAAGCCTCCAAATACTTATTGAATTTAGATAACGAATTTAAAGAATTTATATTGGCTGGGATAAAATTTAATTTTTTATTTAAAGGTCAGAAGAAAGTGGTGTGGCCTCCAGTACCCGAAACGAACGGATATCATAATCCACAACAGGTAAATATTAAATTAAAATGTTGATAAATAAAACATGTAAAATGTATATAAAGAGCTGTGTTTAACAGCAAAATGACATCATCATGGCTGCACATAGCCAACGCTTACGGTGGCGGGCAAATAATAATATATTGCATGCAACACCATCTGCTCAGAGGAAATATTTAATTTAACAAAATATATTATTCTAGTGATATTTTCAGTTTCGTAATTTCTCAAAAAATAATAAAATAAAGCTTATTATTAGATCATCCGATAGGGTTAAGTATTTTTTATAAGATTTATTATAAATCTCAGCAGAGTCCCGTGTACGACAACAACGCGCAACACTCCCCGTCTGCTCAGCCTCCCTATCAAAAGCAACCTCAATATCAACCCGAGCCCCAATATCAAGCTCAGCCTCCGCACTTCCAACCCCAATACCAACAGCCACAGTCCCAGCAGCCTCAGTATCCCCAGTCTCAGCCAGGGTTCTGTGAGGGACGTCGTCAAGAGCAAACTGGCCTGAGTAAGCTGATTCCCGTTGGGCCGGGAGTGACTGCGTCACCCTTGTCTCCCTCGCAGTACCGTGTGGGTCCGGCGTCCCCGGGCATCGCACCGCAACCCTTCAGGCCACAGCCAAATCGCTGGGCCCCCGTACCGGCCCCCCTCTCCCCTCAGGTATCAGGACACCCCAGCGAAGACATCGCCCACTACTTCTTTTTCCCGTTGACTAAATGCATGTTTTTACCAAAACCACTAACTGCTTGGGAGCGACAATCAAGGCGTGTCGAAATAAAAATAGTGTTACGTTACTGATTTTGAATTTTGAATTTGTTACGAGTTTTGTCAATGTGTTTCTATTAAAATGCAAAGAAATACTGCAAGATAATTTTATATGTATTTGGAAAATTAACATTGCAATACATCAACATAGTACCTACATTAAGATAAGTAAACTAAAATCCAAAAGAAATCCACGATTCATTTATATGAAATAGCCTAAAACAAAAGTATGCATTTTAAATTTCTAAAATCTGAACAAATCACACGCTTTGCTTTCCATTATTAATGTCGCATAATAGAACTGAAAATAATAATTATTATTATTAAGCTGTTTAATTAGGAGAATTCGGCTGACCATCTCACGCTCTAATTAATTATCAAGCCGACCTCAAAATTCATAGACATTATTACAACCTGAAAGGCACAACCTATTTCAAAACAAAAGATTGTTGAAATCGGACCGATACATTCTGGCCCAATATTCTTATTGCGTATAAGAGTGTCCGATAACCTATAAGTGACTAGCTGACCCGATAGACTTCGTAGTGCCTCAATCGATAAATAAAAGACCTAAACTTTTGTATATATTAAAATAAACTTAAAACAAATAAAAGGAGTCCGTCCGACAGGCGGGCGACAGGGGACACATCAAAGAGAAAAAAATTGTTATTTTTATTTAATTCCGAGCATTTTTATATTTATTTACCTTTTAAAACTTCTCTGGACTTCCAAAAATAATTCAAGACCAAAATTAGCCAAATCGGTCCAGCCGTTCTCAAGTTTTAGCGTGACTAACGAACATCAATTCATTTTTATCTTTATGTGATATTGAAAAGATAAACGTTTACTTTTAAGTATGGTTAAGGTAAGAGTACTTTAATCATTCCACAGACTTTCGTTCCACTTTTAAGAACGAACAAATTTATTTTAATATCATGAAACGATTGTAAAGATCCTGATATCATCCTATAAACGGCATGAAAATGAACTTCAAGGACATACAACAAACGAGGTGTAAATTCAATTTCACGATTTTTTGGTTTACTTTTTTTCTATGTTAAAGCTAATTTAAGTTGTTTGAATAAGCTTACCAAATTCGTATTTTTTTTGGTCAATAATTTTATATAATGTTGTATCGTTTTTAGTTTTTAAATACCTATGCCTTCTTGGATTTAGTCACCCCCGAAATTTAAATTCATTTACTTACATAAACAAAATTATTGAACGATTTTTTGAGATCACCAATTAACGAAAAACTGTTGTAATATAGACACCCGGATCGCAGCCGAGCTACACGCAGCAGATCTCCCCTCAATCTCAGTACTCATCGCAGTCTCCTTATTCGGAGCCCGCGTACCAGACCACACAGAGGCACTTCGAACCACCTCCATCAACCATCACTCTCCGTCCGCAACCTCCGGTTCACCAGAAACCATCCCCGGTGTTCGCTAGTCAACCGGCCGCTGCGTCATTTAAAGGTAACAAATAATTCGTATTAGAAGGATTTATATTTTTAATACGCTTTTATTAGCTTCAGACGTATGTATGTTAGTATGTAACGGAATCTTTGAACATGATTTTGACCCCCTTCAAAACGTCGGATTAACTTTTTTTACAATAAAATCATTTTTTCTTACACTATTTTTAATTCAAATTTATTAAAATTTATTTCTATTTTTTTTTGTTTGGATTTTCTATAAAAATGTATTTTGTTAGTTTTTTTAAACTATTATTTATTATTTGTTAAATAAAATAGATTGACGAGACCACTTCGTGTTAATCTTCATTTTGGATCATGATCAGATCGAAATCTCTATTACTTTAATCCAATTCCCATTTAAAACGAAATGCGGTTTTGTGAGACACGTTTTTAATATAAATTCGCCAAACTCAGACTCCAACGGCAACTCCGTTCGAATTTCACTAAATTAAAAAGAAAAAAAAGAATGGCGTCCTATCCTTCAAATCGGAAAGTAATGCGTGCTTTGCAGTAGAAATAGAAAAAAGAAAAAAAAACAAATAAAGTAAATAGGTTTTTAGCAAGTGATCACGAAAGATTTTTACAAATAATAAAAGAATCACAAAATCGAATGAAAGCGGAAAATTTGTCAATTTGTGTAATCGGCATATTATGACCTCACTTCGGGGGATAGGTATGTTTATCTTGCCCATTCCTGTCTCGTGACAGTCGTGTCACAATTAGTCAGAAATAAAATTGAATCTTCTACCCAAGTTAACCACTTAATATCAGGTGGACCTTGAGCTCGTCGAAACATCCAAAAGAGGTAGGAACTTACTAAAGAGTGGCTGCACATCACATCACATTGCATTACGGAAACCGCACAATAAAATTGTTTTGGCAGTCGTAGGACTTAGGTTGTTTATTAAATGTTTTGCCACAAATTTAAGTAAATCTATAGAAAAAATGTATCCTGTATATTATTAAGATTCAAATAGAATACAAATTAAAAAAGAAAGATTATTTGATTATTTATTAAAACGCCTCAGGGATGGATCATACGTATTATTTTCAGAAATACATATATTTCTAACAAAGACTGTACACATTACAGCCAGGTGAGACACTTTATTTGTCTACAGAGTAATATTGAGGCATAAAATGCTTTGAAGACGTTCCCCTTACATACGCACACATCACAATAGAAGCTTGCACATTCAATGTTACAAAATTGCTTTTTATTTTATTGTAACTGCCTTACGACGACTTAAGGTGGTCGTAATTTAAAGTCAGGTTAACGTCATCTGACTTCTTTGTAGGTACGATATAATAAACCTATGTATTTTAAAACTATGATAACACGATTTAATATGCAAACTTAATATTAAAATAATAGTTTTTGTTCAGGTTATTTTAGTCTTAGACGAAAGCTATAAAACTTTTGTTTTGTCATAATTCCTTGATATGTCTATTTTCTGGAATATGATTGGACGTCTTTCTCATACCTACAGGTCAAGTTAATAAAAGCATGCTAAAATACAATGTATTTTATAGACTCGGTAACCAATTGGTCGTTGGATTGATAAAAAGCGTTTGATGGTGGATCAGCTTTCTTATTAGAAATATATTGCTGAGATGCCTGGATTGAAATTCTTGAACTATACGTAAATAAAAGTTGTTTTATGTTAAAATTGACAATTATTAACGATTTCTACAAGATCCATTTCAACTTTGGAGGGCTGCCAAATTAATGACCATTGGAACTTTATAAATTGTAAAATTTCCGCTAATAAATCGTCACGACACCTGGCGAAAATTAAGAGAAGCCTAGTCTATCGAAATCTAAATGGCTAATGATGATCTATTTTTGTATCAGATTCGAAAATTGTATAAATATGCACATGAAATTACATACGAAATCTATTGAAATAAATTGCAAGTAAACACTTTCTTTTTTTTCCTAAAATATAACTGCGAAAGACTACATCTTCTTAGATTTCATATTACACGTATAATTGGATCGGCTAATTGGATTAAACAAATTTGCATCACTAGGAGGCGTCAACATGCGTGGAGATCAGAAGTGGCCACCTCAATCGGTGAAGGAGGCTGTGGCTGCAGAAAACGAAGCCCGCCTCAAACTAGCCAAGGGTCCCGCCTGCAGACCGCGCAAGGTATGCTTTAAATATTAATAATTAGTACATTTTCTAATAAAGTATTTTTTTTGGAGACTAATCGAACAGTATAGTAAGAGTAAAATAAGTTTTTTTTTTATCATAGACAGGTCCATACATGACAAATTGAACACAATAATATCAATATTGATAAAAAAATGTTTGAAAATTCAGAATCAATGAGTCCATATGTATATCATAAAATTGAGTGTGTTCAATCTACAGAATTTAAAACGTAAGATTAACAAATATGCATGCTGTACATAGTTTTTACCTATGTTTTATGTAATTCACTATGTACATACATATAATATATGTATATAAATATTTTTTGGGATATATAATTTTTTTTATAAACTTTGTATCCCGTCTAAATTAACTATTAAAACATGTAAATGAATATTAAAGAGATTGAAAAACTATTATCTGTTTTAGCTGCGGCAATATACGCTTGCCGAATTATTAGCCATGAATGAGGCTTAACTTCCTCGCTACATGGTTGGACTTGCATAAATTTGTAAGTGCCACTTGCATCAACATATCTGATGTTTTACTTCTCAAGTTCTAACCGTCGGCACTTGGTGAAGGGCAACCATAGAATCATAATTATAGATCAAGCTTTGTTCTTTATTTTCTTCGTACTTCTTTGGGTAAACAACTCTAGGATGCAAAATTAAAATAACACTGTTAAAATGTTGGCATACTGTTTTATGTAACGTTTGCAATAGTACAGTAATAGTTTAAACTTTTATATCATTAATGTATTTACCTATTGCAAAACGGAAAAGCGGAAAAATAAAATAAAATTCACCATGTTTTCTTTTAAATTAATTTTATTATAGAGTTCCCTTGATTTCTTAAGCACGCGAAAAAACTGTGCGTGTCGTTATTGATTTTGAAATATTTTCGGATGGAAATAGTAAAATAGGCATTTCAAATTTCAATTTCAATTTTCAAATTTGATCTAGAACTGTACAATTTGTAAATAGTACATCCGTAAAATAGATTGTACTAAACTTAAGAGTTGTAGACCTATTTCCTTAGAATTTCATTGGCGTTCCATTACATTTAGTTACCTATGATGTATTCGTTCTCTATTTCAAACAGCTTTGTGTCACGTAGTCCTAATGTAGTGCATGCTATTTGTTAATTCAGTGAACAATTATTTGTTATTTAAAAGTACTTTAGATTTATAGAGATAAGATAATTTAGCGATTTCGAAATATTTATTTGATTTTGTGTAAGATCCCTTTAATATTGCTTAATTGAATGCGAAATAATAATAAAAATATTAAATAATTTGTTCGATTTCGAACAGCTTTCAAGTAACACTATATATATGTATATATATTTTCTGGTGGTAGGACGTCTTGTGAGTCCGCACGAGTGGGTACCACCACCCTGCCTGTTTCTGCCATGAAACAGTAATGCGTTTCGGTTTGAACGGTCGGACAGTCGTTGTACTGTAAAAATGGAGAGAAGTTAGAACTCACGCCTCAAAGCGGGTGGCGGCATTTACGTTGTAGATATCTATAGGATCCGGTAGCCACTTAACACCAGGTGGTAACTATACTGAGACCTTACAACTTATATCTCAAGGTGGGTGGCGCATTTATGTTGTAAATGTCTATGGGCTCCAGTAACCACTTAACACCAGGTGGGCTGTGAGCTGGTTCAGCCATCTAAGCAATAAAAAAAAGGTGGACCATGAGCTCGTCTACCGATCTAAGCAATAAAAAATAAAAATATTATCAGGTTAAATTAAGTGTATGCATTAAATGTCTGTATAACATATACTCATATCTATATAATTAGATGAGTGTAATGAATTATCGACAGGTTAAAAAGGACTACAGCTCGTTCTTCGCGAAGCATGCCCTGAGCCACAATTACCCCGGCTACCGCGCGCCACCAGGCACCCAGCACTTCGAAGACTTCTCGGGCCGATCCTCATACTAAATCATCACTCCTAACACGCAATCTCGTTAGATCTAAACCACGTTTCACATTAAAAATTAACGAACCAAATTCTTGTTGACATTATTATACCTAGCAACGATTTCTATTTACGGAACGCGGGTAAGACGGTGCCAACGGAAACGGTTCCCTCTCATTACAAGAAACAAACATTTATCACATTTCGAGGTATCATCGGTCGAGAACCGGTAGCAGAGGTACTTGTATAGGCTTTAATGGATAAAGTCTTGAGGCACGTACGACAGAATAATAATTGTAGTTTTAATTTAATTTATTTTAACCATTAATTAGCGTGTAAGTGATTATTTTAATGTCATAATAAAACGTAACAAATATATATATATATTTTAACGCTCATAAAATGTTTAGCTATTTCATTGATCATTTTCATTACACATTATTATTTCGACATACTAAACGTTTATTATTATTTTTCGATGTTAAAGTGCGGCTTTTTTATAACGCGAATACGATTCAGCTTTTTAATGTATATAATGCTCAAATTGAAAATGAACGAAATGATTTGAAATTGAAATTTTTCAGTCAAGTCGAATTTTGACTGCATTTTTTTTTTCATGTTTTGATTAAATTTATACGCTTCTGCTATTTGGCTAAGCTTATCCGTTTACCTAGTCATGCGAGAGATTACGCAATTATTTTGTATATAAAAAGCAAAAAAATTCAATACAATTTGGTATTTTATTTTGTAAAATTATGTTCTCAATTAAATAAATGATGTAAAATGCCTGTTTGTTCTCATTATTTTTCTCAATCCTCTTAGAAATGGAAAAAATATTTCGTCGTCAAATGAATACCCGGCAAGTCCATTTTTTATTTATTTCAGAATTTCCTCTTGTTTAATATCCAAATATACGGAAGAGGATGAACACCTATAGACGTTTAAACCTTTCAATCAAAAATAATATAGAGGCTTTCGGCATCTTTGATAGTTTCACATTATTTCGACATCATAACATTGTCCTCAGCGGTATGTAGGCCGCGGGTTGGCTATGCCCCTGGGGTTGGACTTATATAAGCCACAGTAACTACTCGCAATCAAGTGGACCATATACTCGTCTGCCTATAGTTGTAATAAAAAGAGTCATCACACTGCCAAATTATAACAAAAAAATTGTTAAAGAATTTTTATATTATCATTAACCTGAAACCACAACGCAATACTCATCAGATAGCCTGTAATTATTTAATATTAATAATAGGAATCGATGAAATAAAACAAATTTCTAATTACGAAAATATTTTATTTTTATTTATACATATACATAATGTACAAACTGCGCCATAGCTACAACTAGGCCGAGGTAAACACGTAAATGCTATAAAAACAACACCGATCTAGCCAAGCTAATTACCGCCATATTTTATGTACAGTTTATAACGAATCAGTGTAACAACATTACAAGCAGGCCCTTAAACATACGGGGCGCACGGAACCGCACTCAGAACTAAAAACGCTAACAACAGCTACCCACTCATATTTTTTATAAGATAAATAAATAAATTCGACTTTATAGATACAGAAATAAATGAGCTACTTCGTGAAACCAAAACCAATATTAGTCATTTTCAGTCAATATTAACGAAGCAAAACACCCATCGTGTTTGTGATTTAACATTTCCAGGGCGTGCAATGGAAAGCGTACAACACGGAATTCGCAACACGAGGTCGTTGACCTTGCGCGTTAGCAGATCTTTCGTTACTTAAAATTGTTTACTAATCCTTACTGTGTACAAACAAATTATATTTGAAGACCTAAGTGATCCTTTAAGTGAGTGCTAATGTTTTGTTTTCGAGAGCAGTTCTTTACGCCCCGAATTAGAGACGTGCCTTTGTATCACAGAGGTTACCTTTGCACGTGTAAGATGCATTCATTGTCATTATTATTTTCAATAATAACCTAATTTGGAAGTAATCGTAATAAAATAATTTGAAAAGTAATCATAATATTATGATGATTTCAATATTGTATTATAAAATAGACAGATATAAAAAAAAGTTCAATATTGTTTATAGTACGTTCGCGGAAAATTTTACTATAGTAATAGAGACCGTTTGAACTATTTGAATTGTGGATGAGAAAAATTAGGATGCGTGCACGCTGTGACTAAAAATAATAGTCTAAAAACCTAATTATCTCTTAAATGCGGTGGATTAGTACACGTATTTTAAATTAAGCTCTAGTTAATTGAATTTTAACCTGTTTAATTGTTATTATATTAATAAGCTAGGTTTAAAGTGTCTTCAATTCTGAATTTGTGTTTATTGTTATTATATAATTTCTTATAAACGTTGATAGATGTCACTTCATTTTTTTAACTGGCAGTTACGAAACAATTGTAAATGAAGCAATTATAATGCATATAAATAGGTGAACGTGATTTTTTGTTTTTGGTAGGAACTAAATTATGGATGTGAAAGACATCCTCAGTTAGGCATTGTTTTAATTTTTCTTTTCTCAATTATTTAGGGACAGCTTATATATGGCCTTCCACTGTTGGCTTATCGATTGGAATCGGATGCCGATACAGTGGTTACTCTGTGATTACGTGTGCATATGGACACACCTTAATATTTTGAGAATATTTGGAGACCGTTCCTTCGTTTTTATAAAATTAAAACAGAAAGAAGCTTATAATGGTGTATTTCCGCGAACGTAATATAATTGTAGAAATCAATTATATTCATTGAAGAAACATTATTCATATTTGTAGCTGTTTTTTTAATCGAATTTTTAACGATTGAGTGAATTTTTTTATTAATTAATTTAGAAAAAAACGCACGCATAATAGGTTTTAAAAATAAAAATAAGTATTTTCATTGGTTCGAAAAACGTTCGAATAACAAGAGCGCTTTTGACATTCACTAGAATTATCTAGAATTAAAATAAAATAAAACGAAAACCTTTCTATTAGGAATGATTGAGGGTGAGCAATCGTTTTTTTACCAAACAAAGTAAACTCCTCACTTCCTTTTTATCAAATTCGAATATTTACTGGTGAAATATATGTGTCAAGATTCCATTTAAAATGAAATAATGACAATATTTCGATTTGATCGTTATTGTAATGGATCCATGAAAACAAAGATTACATAAAATTTAACTTGTGGACGAAATCTATTGAAACCACCCGTTTATTCAAAGAGACAAGGGACGTTCGAAGTTGACCCTGCACGATTAATTATAAAAGAGAGCGATATTGATTATCGATTTGACCGACCAATGATTTCATGATTCCATTTAAAAAAAAAGTCGATAACGAATGATTTAAAACGACTAGAAAACGAATATTATTTCTCAGACCAGCGAGAAGCCCTGCGTCTGCTGAATGGCCTGCAGAAGATAATACTTGAGCCTCTCTTTAGTTTTGTAACGCGGGAGATCTAGAAGATTGAAGCACGTGTGGGCCACCGGGAAGAACCTGTCGTCTGCCACTGGTTGAATTCGTATCTGTAAAATATAAATTTATCAAGAGTGCTGTTATTGTGACGAAATGATCTGTAGAGAGATCGAAAATTTCGAGAATTTTGATATACCTTCTAAACTCACATTGCGGTCTGTCGGCTTTTGAGTTCACTTAACACAACGGTTAGTCGATCCTACGCGAATACATCTACCGGGTGAAGTGAAACCAACGAACACCTTATCAAGTAATAACGGACATAACATGTATGCATGTAGCATGTATTTAAAACTGAACGTGAATAGGAATACCAGTCGTTCAACAACCGGTTCCGGCGGAAGTCGGGTGCAGTCCTTCGCGACTATAACATTGAACACTAACATTTAATATTCACTAGACGATGAGCGAGCTTTGCTCGGTTTTTTTAATTTAATTTTTTGGTAAATTGTATTTTTCAGAATTTATATTTAAATACGAATTACATATTGATAAAATGATGAAATATTCCAAGATCGTTTAGGCATTTTTAAATGAACACGTGAGTTAAAAAGACACAAATAATATAAATAAACAATTCATTTTCTTGGTCTAACCTTAAACCAAACACTCATTGGCTTCGGGTGGCTTAACAACGCCATCTGCTGAAATAGTTTTAGTGTTATTGTGTCTTTAAAGCAGTTATTTGCTCTCAATTATGAAAAATAGTATTAATATTCGCCAATAGATGTCAGGAAGAGTCATAAAGTTGATTATTGAAAACACGAATAAAACAATATTTTCTGAAAATAAATCGTAACTAGATTGATTTATCGGCCCCGAAGTCCCCTGTATACTAAATTTTAGGTAAATCGTTGGAGGCGTTTGCGAGATTCAGATTATATTTATACAAGAACTGCTCGTTTAAAGGTATATTATAAGATAAAATAACATAGAACATTTTTCCGGATTGCGTGTAGTAAAATCGGTTAATAAAACTCAGACTTGTTACTTATCAATAACACAGCAAATTAACAAAACACAATAATGCTGCAAACTTACTTTAATGTCCCTCATTCCTTGTATCGGAACACGATCGCTGCCGGTTAAGAAAAGCAAAAATTTCTTCTTATCTTCAAGCGGCAGCTCGTGGAACGTTTCCCAGAACCATCTAATTGTTTGGATAATCGTTAATTAGTACAAGTGATGGTGCAAATAGAAAGGGAAAGGTGAGGATTGAAAACATGAATCCAATAATATTAAAAATGTTAACGAAATTATTATTTTAATGTGCCTTGTAATAATTCAATCAAATTGTCAATTTAGCGAGGAGCCGGTCAACTTGTCATGGTGTACATGGTTTGCCTGTTTTCTTATCGCGAGTTCACATAATACGATCGACAAGTAATTTTGTTTTTGTTTATTGTACACAGAAATGGTAAAGCTTGCACCCTAAATCCTACCAATCTTACCACCACCCTGCTTATTTCTGCCGTGAAGCAGTACAGAAGGGTGAGGCAGTCTTTTTATTGTAAAAACGGAGACTTTAAAACTCATATCTCAAGGTGGGTGACGGCATTTACATTGTAGATGTCTATGGGCTCCGGTAGCCATTTAGCGCCAGGTGGACCGTTAGCTCGTCCGCCAAATTAAGCAATAAAATATATCACTTAATTTCTTAAATGTAATATTTCTGTGTACAATAAACAAAATATGAGGGCTGATCCTTTGAATGAAATTGAAAATATAGTGTATTTATTGATTCGCTTATTATTTTAATATGTTACTGAAAGCATAGAAATTACACATTATCGTGAGTTTTCTTCGTACCAAAATCAGAGGAATATAGTCAAACGGTAGAAAGATATAAAGACAATAAAAAGTATTTATCATTTATGCTTATCAAATTAACACCTTTATCCCTTTATTTTAGAATCGAAATTTTCTTGTTTTCCTTCGGCATTATCAATTATTAGTTACCTGATTTGTTGATCAGTTTCTGAGTATCCGTTCTTGTATTCACAATTGTTCTGAAACATTTCCCAGTCGTACTCCTCGTTTCCGATCACAACGGACATCAGTTCGTGAGATCTAAACAGCTTTATTATTCTACCCCCGCACACCTGAAATTATAGACAAGAGAAACTTCCTTAATTAAATTAATCCATTGAATGATACAACAACACACCATATAATTAGGTGTAGTTTCTTTTAATGTTTTTGAATTGAAAATTTCATTAGCTAGGGTGTTGGCGAGTCGGAGACATAATTAAAATTGCGAAACTAAACCCTAAAAATTGTTGTAATCATTTTCTTTTTTAGCACCGCTATGTTTTAGTACCGGATGAAACGGAAATAAACTCTAAATGCGACACAAGAAAGAGACAAACATATGCTTTTATAGGATTTAGGGTGCGAAATAATGAGATAGATAGAATAATTCTGATAGTCTAACTCCTAACGCGCGTAGGCTGAATATTTTATTATTGCATTGGTGCGTGACAAGCTCGCGGGCCGCTCGGGGTTACGAGGTTAGGGAATACATGGATATCAATTATATCAATAAATTTTAAGTCGTCGTGGCCTAAAGGATAAGACGTCCGGTGCGTTCGTATCTATCAATGCACCGGTGTTCGAATACAGTAGGCATTCTAATGAAATACGAACTTAACAAATGTTCACGATTGACTTTCATGGCAAATGATCATGTAATAAATATCAAACCGCTAAGCACTATAGAAGGGTGGGGCAGCCTTTGTACTGTAAATACTGAGACCTTAGAACTCATGTCACAAAGTACGGGGCGGCACTTACGCTGTCAATGTCTATGGGCTTCATTAACCACTTAACATCACGTCCACCGTGAGTTCGTCTAATCTAAGCAATAAAAATATCATCAACATATTATGTATATAAATATAGATTTACATATAGGATAAAGCAGATAATTTTAACTACATTTTACCTTCTGGAAACCTTGATTGAAAGCTTTAAATTGATTCTCCACAGATTTATTGAGCAAAAAGTCCACGTACAACTCGACGTATTCGGCTTTATTTTCGCGCGTCACAGGTATATTCTCTCCGTCCTCTTTCAGTGGATTCACTTGTATTTGATCAAACACTTCAGTGTTCACGGCGAAACACAGTCCGAACACCTGCAATGGCAATGGATTTCTATAAAGGAAACACCATTTCAAATCGGGACGAACATTTTTTAGGTAAATTCGTTTAAAGATCAGTATTTCTTCAGTCCATGCAGCTATTAACCAGATACAAGGGTATGGAATAGTTTCTAAACCTCTAGGTTTGTAGCCTTAACCCAATTCCAGACTGAGCCGTTTATTCCCTCACCCTTCTTGCTTCTTGGTAGGCCAAGATGTAAGCTCATACTACCTTCTTGTATCCATAGTAAAGCAATCATGCGTTTCAGTTTGAAAGACTGTACCCAATTTTCCCTAAGTGTCAGTAACGACTGTACCCAATTTTCCCTAAAGTGTCCTAAACGTCTTTACAAAAAAATTTAGTAGAACACTAATAAATTTTAATGTAAGATAAACGACGCGCAAATGGGTAGAAACAAGTAAGGCCACAAAATATATTAATTTTCTGTATTAGGACAGTTATATCAAAGTTTTGTATAAGATCTCGGCCGTTATTCATTTTACATTGTTATTTTTTTTATAAATTATTATAATTATTAGTTCGGGTAGTGGATTAAAGTCATAAAGAATGAAGATTTGCCAAATTTAGTAAATTAATCTATTAAATAAATAAAAATAACTTGAAATCTATTTAAGAAACTCTTCCGATTACTTTTAACACTCTATTGTTAAACTACTATTGATATTCGTCATTGTCTTGCCATTGTTGACAATGGATTGGCTCATTCGTCTTGACATTTTGTTTCTCATGTTTACTCTAACCCGACCACTCTAATAGCAACTATAATTAGTACAGAAGTTGCTTTTGTGTCAGACATAGGATACTACATTCGTTTTACTAAAATAACAAACTGTACACAATCTAGATACCCAAGACATCAGTACTATGTCTGTGTCCTTAGTTATGATATAGCTTTATCTTCTGATGACTTTATACTTATTAATTTTGTTATTAGCCAATTACCATTATTATCATTCCTAAAGTGGGTTGTGTCAAGCAGCCACCCATTGCATTAAACTACAATACGGACACAATGTTGTCTCAATTTAAATTTTCTGTGAGATAAGAGCGAGAAGGATAATCTTGACGTACTTACCTCTTCTACGTCATCGTCTGTATATTCCAATAAACTTTTCAAACTATTGGCTAACGTTGGATACAAATCTGACAAATCGTCCATCATAACAGATTCGCCAAGAATTTTCTTATACAAAACTAACGGGAACGGAACGTATATAATAATCGAATTGTATATCGCAAGTCCGTAAATAGCCCCTGAAATAAAATTTAATGTTGGTACAATTGCGGACACGGACCTAGGGCGCCGGCTCACGGGCGGGTGTCGCCTTCCAAAATTTACTGTTTTTGTTAATTATACATTTAAATAGATATAAGCAAAACCAATATGGCCATTTCGGTACCCAGTTTCGTAAAGAGTTAAGGTCGTAAGTGGACATTAATATGAAAATTATTAGATTTTAAAACAAAATTTTGACGACGAACTGGTATAGCGTTTTATTGAAGTGAAACTTCTAATGCGACTTGCAACAAGGTTGCGTTAAACGTTCAACGCTTCTGAGAAGGGGGAATAGAAAGAGACAGAGCGAGAGTGAATGCTTGGCATTCGAACGCATACCCGTAGTATACCTATTACAGGCCAGCGCGAGCGTCCAATATTTTAATGAAGTATTAAAAAATATACATATTTATTGTTCTATCTATATATAATTTAAAATATATATAATATAAATATTGAAGATATCGCATCTCTTTTACACAGCATTCCCTATTACAAGAACAATCTGATTTAAGGATGAAAAATGAAGAAAACCACAATACTACACATCGACAAAGAAGTTTCACTTCATTCACGTGCACCAAGTTGCACGCGCACCGTTTTTTTCACTTCACGTTACTTACCAATTACATAATACATGACGTCATCTTCGAATGGATTATTTGAAAACCAAATCATGTTCGTCTCCTCAGATTGCTTGAACATACCGTATACGGGATCAAATATTTCCTTGAGCAGTAGCATGAAGAATTCTTTTTTAACGCCACCGGCATCTTCCGCTTCTTCGCCAATAAACTCGACCTGTGACAATCAAGCCAGTCAGCACCTAATAAACTTAGAATGAAAAATTAAAAGAGAATTCAGAGTAAGCACTATAAAATATGCATAAAAAATTGGTTTGACTTTACGTTGATATATGATCACGAGTCTTTCATGTAGAAGCTTGGTGATAATAACGGGAAGATCGTTCACCGAGTGAGTGAAGTTGCCTACGTCCGGCCTGCTTCTTTTTTTAGAATACGTTCCAGTTTCACCAGGACAGCACGGACTCAGCCAGGAGGAAGGACCGCATTGTTATTGTTCGGAAATTGGATATATTATATACAAACTAATCTTGTAAATATCGTTAGCGAGATTCAGGCACCTGTCGCATGTCTTGTGTTCTATGATGACTACTACCCAGAGGTCGTTCGTGAACAATGTTAGCATAGTCATTAGCCGCCTCAGTATTGAAGCACCGCTGTATGGAGCCTCATAAATTAGCGTTTCATTAATTAATTGTCATCACTTATTCGTTTGACTAAATTTTACATTAGGTACACTATAAGTAAATCTGTTAAAAATAGACACAAGGGTCACGTTCGAAGAAAATGTTGATTTTTCAAAACTTACTCTGAGCGGTTTCTTCAGTTGTGAAGTATCATGGTTGCTTATCTGCAGCATGGTGTCCCGGACAATATGGTTCCTCGAGACGGTCAAGTTGAGGAACTGATCCCTCTGATACTCGTAGGTGGGATCCATGAAGAGCCTCGTGAAGATTTGCGTGGTGGCCCTGCTTATGGCGATCTGCATTTGTAGTTGCTGATCGATCTTCAGCAGCAACGACTTGCATTGGACGTCGAACAGGAAAGCGTAGTTGCACATGTGCGTCTGGGTAGACTAAAAATGTTTTTTTAACGTTTAGCAAAATTACAATGAATTAAATTATATTTTATTGCATTTGACTTTTTATCAATACGAATTTGGATTAAAATTTTGTTTTTTTTAAAGCGTTTTTATTTGGAGACTTTCATCTAAACTTCCCCTTTGTTCCATAGTATCATTATTATTTTTATTGCTTAGATGGGTGGACGAGCCCACCTGGTGTTAAGTGGTTACTGGAGCCCATAGACATCTACATCGTAAATGCGCCACCCACCTTGAGATATAAGTTCTAAGGTCTCAAGTATAGTTACGACGGCTGCCCCACCCTTCAAACCAAGACGCATTACTGCTTTACGGCAGAAATAGGCGGGGTGGTGGTCCCGCGCGGACTCACAAGAGGTCCTACCACCAGTAAAGAGAAATAATTATAATTATTTTTTATTATAATTATTTCTGGTCATTAGCGTGGTTTAGTCAGTACGTAAGACACAAAAACAGACTGCGTATTGTGATGCATACAACATTCATGTTGTGAAATTTACGGGGTCCCTACATATGACCGTCTACCTGTCTATCTCAATAATATTCACTTACAGTTTGGTCCGACAACCAGTTAATATAATCAGATGCGATGTCAACGTGATCACACAAGTCCTCTATGTAGAAACATTCGGCCGGTATTTTAGGTAGCTTCGGGTTCGTGAAGTTGATCTTGTTCAGCGACGACAACGTGTTCAAAATCTGTACGGTGCTGTGTTTGAATTGCACTTTCTGTAAATATATCACACGCTACTTAATACTCTCTTTTCTAATAAGATATATTGAATAATTCTCGGCAGTAATTGTATTTTGATTGTTTATGACCTAATTATATCGCACATACGGTGCTATGACATCACTTATGCAAATTATGTAATTTTTCAGGAGAAGCGTTGAAAATTCAACATCTTAATACAATTATATAGTTCTTCTCGACTAAAGAAATAAAATGATAACTTTTAAACTACATAAATAATAAATAAATAATAAATAAATATTTACTAACCATCACGCCACGTTAACTGGTCCCGTGATAAGTTCGTAAAGAACTTGTGTTACAGGTACCAGATAACGGAAATAAATGTAATATTTTTATTATACACATACATATATTTAATATACATCCATAACCCTGGAAAAGACATTTATATTTATCATACAAATATCTCCCCTCGGCGGGATTCGAACCCGCGACCCCCTTGTGTAGTGACCATGTCACTTACCACTACACCAGACGGCCGTTTGACTACAACTTTAAACGTTATTATTAAAAACAAACATCTCATTAATAACTATTAAAAAATGGATTTTCACGAACTCAGTTCAGTTTTAACAAGAATCGCATAAGTGAAATTATAGCTCTGTATGTGCAATATGTTATTAAATTTGTATTTAGTTTTATATGTAATTCACCCCACGGTTTGTATTTAATATATATGTTAACGGAAATGTATGTAATCCGTCACTGTATACAATTCCTAGGAAATGTATGTAATTCCTAAAATCGCATGGAAATGTGTGAAATAAATTATATTATACTTACACATTACACATTTCCTAGGAAATCTATACATTTCCTAAATAGCAATCGGAAATGTAAAACATTTAAGATATTGGTGGGTACGCGGGGACAGCGGGACGAGTCTTGCACTACGGTCAGTTGCCAACTTGCAATCCACTGGAACCGGCCAGGGATTTAAGAAGTGCCTTTGCAAGAAAAACTGTGCTACATCAAGATGTCTGTGTTTTAAAAATAAAGTATTATGTACTTCCAAATGCCATTCGAGCTTACCCTGCAAAAATAAATAGCTATATGGACTGACAAAGTATTATAATATAAAGATTTACTTTTATACTTTGACATTTATAATTACTTAATTATCAGACTGATTACTTGCCAAATGAAAATTTGATTTTATAAGAATAAATATAAGTTGATTTTGTGATACGTTAAAAGTTAATAGATAGTTGATTTTAGAAGTTTTAATTAGATATGATAATATGATAATATGAATATATTATTATTATTTTACGGTATGACTGTTACCCGATTGTCTCAATAAGTGTTATAATAAAAAAATATTATTAACAATGTGTTTTATTACAGAAAGCATTTACTTTATACATTTCCTAATACGATATTGGAATTATATACAATTCCGAGGAAATTTATACATTTCCTAGGATATCTATGCATTAAATAGTTTTTCAAACAATATTTTATATTAATTTCCTAAATAGTATCGGAATTGTAAGCATTTCCTAGGATTTGTATACAATTCCTTGATTTCATACATTTCCGGTAACATATATACATATAAATTGTGGGGTTTGTTTTTATTGGCCTTGTAGGTGGACGATCATACGGCCCACCTGATGGTGAGTGGTTACCGTCGCCCATGGACTTCAGCAATGCCAGGGGCAGAGCCAGATCACTGCCTACCGTTAAGCACTCTCCCCAAGCCGCGTTTGGTGTATTTAATTTAAAATATCTAGTTTGACATACTTTGAATGTCTCACAGTTACCTCCTTACGGAACAATCATGCGTTCCTACACGACATCATTGATTCAATGTGGGGAAAAAATGAATACAAAAAAATAGCACTTCACTTTTACCTTGGTTGATCTAACTACAGGCTGCATAAGTTCGTATACAACGACGCTTTTGAATATATCTACGAGCATCTCAAAGTACTCGGTCGTCTGCGCCTCCCACCATAAGTTGACTATTTTTTGAGGATGAGTAGACAAGTTGTTGAAGGCTTCAGCAAAGGGACCCTAAAAATATTAAAATACAATCATGTGTCATCGTTATACAAATGTATCCAATTGATTTTATTTAAGAAACAAGAAATATATGTATCGCCAGCACACGCCTAAGTTCCAGAGTGATATTTACATTCATTGATGTCAAAATTGATTTGAAGTTAATGTTTGTAGATTTATCTCGTTCTGCGAATCTAGCATAACCACTCGAGGTTACTTAAATGAAATCAAAAAAAATATATTCAACATAAATGAAAGTACATGCTTGTTGAACGTCAAAAAGAACTACCGCCAATTCACAAAAACTAGCCTCCGTCCTGAGAAGAACTGGCAAGAAACTCAGCGAGCATGTCTTTTTTTTTTAAATATTAGATAAAAAAATATACTATAGTAGTTAGCAAAAAAAATTACTAAAAATAGATTTATTTGTATTTCTATGTGGTTATGGTCTAAATAATAAAGACGACAGGTACGCTCTTATCGAGCGACGCGACAATTCCGGGGTTCGAATCCTCTACGCAATACCGATATTATTGTTACTATTATTACTTGTAGACGAATATAAATATATATATTATTATATATTTAAGCATTGGAAATTATTATAATTAGTACTGAAAATATTTATCTTACCTGTAGCTGGGTATGGCGTCTGGGATTCCTCATTTCGTGATATAGCGGTAATATTAGAAACATTCTTAGAGCTTCAGCATCCGGTGGAGAGGGCTTCATTTTCTTAATTATATTATCCGTTAAGTGAGTGAATATCTGAAAAACAGATTATACTTTTGTCAGACGGTGCCTAATGTTTAATCCATGGCCTGATAGGTAAGACGCTCGAATAATATACTTTACGACTAATACGCAGCTTATATTTGCGTATTTACCGGCAGTGGAGCATGTTGTGATTCCGCACTATTCCTGCTCATTTCTGACGCGAAGCGGTTATCCATTAAGCCGGCTAATAGAAGGAGTATGGACTATACAAAGAAAGCGAACATACATATGTAACAGTTTACGTTTAGCTATGGTAAGACCCTTAGCATTGAGGATTATCGACGCAAGGAGTGAGATGCTAGGCCACGTGTCGGTTTGTCTGGAGAGTATAGACGAAAAGTCTATATGGTACGACTTTTAGGTTGCTTGATTCATTCACCGTGGAGATGTTTCCTGAATATTCATGCCCTGTCAAAATGTAGGACCGCTCGTAATTCCTCAAGGAATAGAGAAGGCAGGGTACCAATCCCGCAGGCGGGGTATCAATTTTTCTAATGAAATACGTACTCAATAAATGTTCACGATTGACTTCCACGGTGAAGGAATAACATCGTGTAATAAAAATGAAACCCGCAAAATTAAAATTTGCGTAATTACTGGTGGTAGGACCTCTTGTGAGTCCGCGCGGGTAGGTAACACCGCCCTGCCTATTTCTGCCGTGAAGCAGTAATGCGTTTCGGTTTGAAGGGTGGGGCAGCCGTTGTAACTATACTGAGACCTTAGAATTTATATCTCAAGGTGGGTGGCGCATTTACGTTGTGGATGTCTATGGGCTCCAGTAACCACTTAACACCAGGTGGGCTGTGAGCTCGTCCACCCATCTAAGCAATAAAAAAAGGGTACAAACTACCACCCTGCCAAGTTCTGCCGTGAATCAGTAAAGCATATCAGCTTGAAGAGCGGGGCAACCGTTGTACTGTAAAAATGAGACTCGGAACTCATGTCTCAAGGTTGGTGGCGGTATTTATGTTGTTAGTGTTCATAAACTCTGGTAACCATTTAACAGCTATAGACTCCTCCGCCCATCTAAATAATAAAAAATAATAGATATTTATATCGATATAATCGATATTATATCGTACTGGAAGTCTTTCCTTGAATCGATTCTCAGATCTTTCTTAGTAAACTTATTTGACAATTTGGTAACACATCAAAATATTTAAGGGCATTATTTGGTTTTATTTTTAAACTAGCTGTACCCGTCCGCTTCGCTGGCCATTTAACATTAACATTACTATTTCTCACCCCCACAAAGATTCTCAATATGAACGGCCCCGCAACTGGTGTAGGGAGTCCAACACTTATATAATTATTAGCTTATCCATTAAGTACATGTATTTTCTACATGGATACCAAGTTTCAAGTCAATCGGATGCACGGTTCAGTAGTTATAGCGGAACATCCGTAAAAACCACTGTAGATTTATATATTAGTATAGATGTGTAATTCAGAATGAGAAAAGACCCACTCACTAGTTCCTTGATGGACGTGTTTTCGAATCGGCTGATCAACGAGAACGCCTCCTCGGCTTTGCTAAGGTCGACGCCCGGCATTTTGGTGTTGCAACAGTAGTGTCCGTTGCTCGGCAGCAGGAAGGACGCGTTCACACACGCCAGCGAACCGAACACCGTCTCTAAGTACGCCATTAAATCCTGTAATAAGTGTGGGTTGTACGCGTTTTAGAGTGAACACTTCTTTAGCGTCGTTTCGATTTGAAACTCAATGAAATTTTAAGGAGACTATAAAAAAGATAAACGTATATATAAACTAAAAAGTTTGGCTTGCGAGAAAATGAAGTAAGTTTTTTTGTTTTGAAGGTTTTGCTTAGTTTCTTGTGTTATAGGTATACCTGTGACAGAGGCACATCGCAAAATCATCTTGAAATAAATCTTTCGTTATGACACTTAAAGGACTTACATCGGACCGAACTATAAAGCGGAATTTACATTACGAAATTAGTGTCATGCATGTTGAACTCAGTTTCACGAAAGTAGTTTCGATATATGCGAAAGTAACTTCATTAAAAAATTAGTGTCGTGAAATCCACAGTATCGCAGTAGCCATGGCGCCTTGAACATCAAAGCTATATTTTGCTTTATTCAATGTAGCTAAAGAAATGCTTATATACCTATAAACTTAAAAAAAGACTATCAGGAAAAAAAAGACGTTGGTAGATTCGAGGATGTTAACAAGAAGGCATTTAGGTGCAATGAAGTTAGTCTCTGAATTAGCAAATGAAGATCCTGAGAGCTATAAAAACTATTTTCGAATGAGTGAAGATAATTTTGATTTTTTACTGTGTTTCGGGTCCCAGAGACACCCTTGTCGCGGATATTCATTAATGAAATCTATATTTTTATCGTTAGTTTGCCATTTTCAACGCTCGAAGCGCGCGCGAGCTGACAATACACACGTCCGCACAGCGCAGGCCCTTTCGCGACATTAGTTTCACGTCGCGTCTACACTATGAAATTAGTTGCATGACACTAATTTCACCAAAAAATCGCGCAGGGCACGAAACTTATTTGAAATTAATGCATGCATTACTAAAATATTAAATTACACATGAAACTGTTGCTAAAACTAATGTCACGAAACTAATTTCATGCCATTAATTTCGTAATGTAAATTCGCCCTTAACTATCATAAAATAACTAGTGCTAAAAATAGTCTTCAACAGCTTTTTGAGACAAATAACAAATATTTGTATTATTCATAATTTAAATTATAAGCACATTATTTTTAAATCACAAGAGTTCACGTTGCCGGTAGGCAGCGGAATGGCTCTGCCCCTGGCATTGCTGAAGTCCATGGGCGACGGTAACCACTCACCATCAGGTGGGCCGTATGCTGGTCTGCCTACAAGGGCAATAAAAAAAAACGTAACAATAGTTAGTAGGTATTCCCTAGAAAATGCCATGATCGACGTAGCAGTGGACAAGACACATTGCTGGTAGAACAGTGTGCTTAGTGCGAGTTTTTTAACGTTCTCAACAGCGCCCCTGGCGGCAAACGTAGGCAAACTTTCCAACAACATACAAATTTGAGTATTAAAAACTCGCACTAAGCACACATATGACCGCTTAGGCCTAAAAGTTATCGAGTGACGACCCCGACTTTACTATAGAGGGTTAATAATCAACCATTTTTTTTATAGTTCAAGTACCTGATTAACGAAATCTTTGTCTTTGAAGACTTGACACGCGGCTAGCTTCGGTAGAGTGAGCGTGAGTATTTGCTTCCTGTGGTCCGGAGTGCGGTAGTCGACCGGCCCGGACTTGTCGCCTTTCAATACCACGAAGCTGTGGTCACCTCCCGCGAACACTTTAATCGGACCCTTGAAGATTTCAGGTGAAAACTGCGAATTAATTACGTGTTGAATCGATCACTTTTATTTCGATGTTGCCAGTCACAAAATGTTAACTTTATTTTGATGCACCTCAACCATCTGATAAAAGAGGGTCTTTGTGTTTTACACACTATATTAATATGATTTTAATAGTGTTATTTTTTTTAAATTAGTTATTTATTTAGTTAATTAAAATGTTTAGTATATTAATGTGAAAAATACAAAACTCGGATAGTAGTATAATTATTCACTAAGCAGCGAAACCAAAATCACCAAAATTCGGTGAGAATTAGTTTCTATTTGGGAACTGTTACGTGCTTCAGCAAAATTATCGATAGCCATTTTTTTGTGAATATATAAAAGCTGAGGTTACGACCTACCTGTATTGAATTGTTTCCTCTCACAATTACAAACATCAGACTATGAATCATGCTAAGAATATTTATTAGTGTATAGTGCAAATGCGAAGAATGGTGATAATTTCAGTTTCAAATAATCGATTTAAACTATCACAACACAAGCGGAAGGAGCGGGTGCCTTGACTGAATGGGTGCTATGAAATGGTTATCATGTTTGTACGATACTGTATAGAATCTACAGTGAGACTGCGTGAAGCACGACCTAATTCCAACAGAAGAACTCTATTTAGAACTGCTACACTGAGCATCACTCGAAAGAACAGTTTCAACTGCGCAAGGCCACTAAAACTTAAGTCACGGAACTTTTACATTTGAAACACTGGCCCCGTTGTAAATATGACACATTTATATTATTTTCGTATACGCAAGACCAAAAGTTAAGTTAAAACTAAGACAAATAAATGCTATATAGGTTAACACTACTAAAAGCGACTATATAGTTTGGGTAAAATAATAGAAAAAGGTGTATTATGACATATGGCTCATTTTTATAGTTTATAATAATATAATTGACTCAACATTTTGTTTAGAAGTGCCCACGTTGCCCGAACGACCGAATGTCGATGAACCCTCCACCTTTGCTTTCTTCTTTGGCTAAAGGAGGATAGTTCTCGGTTAGTTTCATTCCAAAACAATAAATTTAACAATACGGGATAATTTGAAGAGTGCACAACAAAACATATTATAGATAATTTATCTGTAAGCAACAAAACAAAAAATATATACATACGTATCAACTTATAAACGTGCTTAAAACATTTTCACTGAAGCAATGTTGAGTCAGAAATTTCGACAAACCAATTTCATGAGCTAAAAGCTAAATTCGCCGGTCCAAGCAACAATATGTGTGACAAAAACTATGGAAGCTACAATACGTTAATAACTAGAGGAAATGCGTAATAAAAGTTATGATCGTAAATTAATCACCTTATTCTGATCCATGGGTTCGGTCTATAATGAAAACATTATTTATAGTGATTTATTTGACATTGGTATTAAACGGAATGTGAAGAAGCCTTTTCTAAAGCTGCTGACTTAAGACGAACAGAAGATATACTCAACATGTTATCAACGATATTATCATAATATTTAGTGTCCCCCGCAATATCATAGGTAGTAGAAGCCAATTTAAAAATTCCGTGTGTCTTTTGGGCCCTTAGATAATGTTCAATTTTGCTATCGTTGTTAAGAAATCTATAATGTGTTCTCAAGCTTTATAGTTGCATTAAGTACCTACGTCGTACATGATGCTAAATTGTTAAGGAATCCATAACATCACTATTTCAATGCCGGCGGCTTGACACATGAAGTCGAAGTCTCTATTGTATTATCACCTAGCAAACTAGGACATATCGCTTCTTCGCGGTAGAAATCAAAGACGAAATCACATTGTCTATGCCACACAATCGGAAACTTTTCTAACGCTAGCTGAATTGTAACATTGTGTAGGGCCCATAATTTTGAACACCATATTACATTTCGTGCAAAGCAAAACCTATTAGTAAACCAATTGTAAGAGCTTTACTTTTTTAGTGTCATTAACTTAGGTATAACCATTTTTATCGTATAGACCAGCGATTTCCAAAAGGGTCGACATCGACCGATAACTTGATCAAGCGCCAAGTCATTCTATTAGTAATGATTTTGTATTGATGAGAAAAAAATAATGTGGAAGAGTTTTTAAGTTATTTATATAATTTGTCTATGGGGTTCTGAGGTATCAGTTTATTATTTTGGAAAATGGGTCTCTTCCCCAAAATAGTTTGGGAATCCCTGGTCTAGACAATTTGACATTGTTACCGAGAAAGGCTTCAATGCACCCTGTTTTAAAACATTACATTACAATACTTCCGTATGCGCCAGTGGTATACAGATGTATCTTTTGCTCTCTTAGAACACTGACGATAGCTATCGTTTCTATTTTGTGTTTTTAGAGCAAGGGAAATATTGTTTAACATGCGCTTTTATTTTATGATTAAATTTATTATAATCAAACACTCGTGTTTCTTCTCTATATATATATATTTTTTGCAGAACTATATTCACATTGCTAAGCGTTTCACACCAAAGGCTTCCAGCGGCTCGGTATTTAATTCTTAAAGACCCAGAAAAACAAAAAACAAAATATTTTTGCGATAAACCCAAAAGTGACCGAGACTTACCTCTCGATTTATCGCAATAACATGAAACAGCGTAATAAAATCGCGTGCGGAACTTACTTTTGGTAGAACGGATTAAAAAAAACCAAAACATAAATATTTATTTATTTATTTATTTCGGGCGATATACGAGTAACTAAAAAGGCATTTCATTTAATACCAAAAGCAAGCGCAACATTTATTGTTTCACATTGCGAAAAATGTATAGAAGTTCAAATTCATTGCTGAAATCTTTATTGTTAAGGCTTATTAATTCTCGACTTACCGGAGATTCGTCGTTGGGTGTGAACGGCACAGGTGTCGGGACCAGCGCGAACGCCATGTGCGGACAGCCAAGTTGACCTCGCGCTCCGTAACCGCAAGCCAGGATTCGCTCGCCGACGCGACACAGCAAGTGCCGTCGTCCGCACGCTATCTGCGTCACTGTACTGCCCATCAGCTCGACAATCTGTTTTTATTTATAACTTTACTAGCTGACCCGGCAGACTTCGTAGTACCTCAATCGATAAATAAAAGACCTAACCTTTTGGGGGACACATTAAAGGAATTACCACCCCCGAGATCGCCAAGAGCTTCTCTGATACAGGCGTTGAATATTTTAACACGGTAAGTTTTCATTAAAAATCTCAATGAATACTTTCCTAATTATTTTATTGTGTACTACTAGCTGACCCGGCAGACTTCGTAGTGCCTCAATCAATAAATAAAATACCTAAGCTTTTGCATAAAATAAACTTAAAACAAACAAAAGGAATCCGCCCGACGGGGGACACATCAAAGGAAAAACAAAATTGTTATTTTTATTTAATTCCGAGCATTTACATAGTTATCTACCTTTTAAACCTTCTCTGGACTTCCACAAATAAGACCAAAATTAGCCAAATCGGTCGGGCCGTTCTCGAATTTTAGCGAGACTAACGAACAGCAATTCATTTATGTTTTTTATATTTATTTATTTTATATTTATTTATATTAATTTTTATATTTATTTTATTTATATTTTTTATATATAGATATAAAATATACTAGAAAGTATAAAGGCGGACTTAATACCATAGGCATTCTCTGACAGTCTACCTTAGGGGGCTGCAGAGATGAACCTTGGTAGGTATAGTGTGATAGTGATATTACTTAAACATATTGAGTAAATATAACACACATAATATTTAGATATACAAATACTCGTACTTAAATAAATACCTATATATAAATATAAAAATATATATAAATAAATATTATCAATTAGATGACTCTGCCAACTCTCTGAGAAACAGTTCTCGAAACCTTTTTAACGTTTTTATTGTTTGTATAAACCATTTTACATCTTTTGTTCATATAATATGGCCATTTCATTTTATTTTTTACATAAGAGTAGGTCTTGTAAAAAAATATATACCGAAAATTTAAATAGTACCTTTCTTGGAACAAGCTCATCTCTAGTCGTACCATGTCCAGTCTGCCCGTATTCACCAGTTCCACATGTGAACACACCACCGTCCAATGTCAAGAAAACAGTGAAATCTTCACCACACGCTATGTGACACACCTACAATATTTATTTAAAAATCTTTTTATTAATTTATACCTGAAACTCATTAACAACATACATTTGTTACATAGTAGTATTACTTAACATACCTTCACATTTCTCAATGTTTTTAGGTGAGTGGGATAGCATTTGTTTTCAACGTCTTGAAGACCAAGTTGTCCATGAGTGTTTTTACCCCATCCAAAAACCGCACCTGATCTATGAGACAAATAGATATATCACCATACTATAGTTCTTTTGGGTTTAGTTTATCTTCTTGGAATTATTAGCTAATTATTATTTTTGTATTACTTAGGTACATCTCCTATCTGGCTACCGAGCCAATCAATGTTATATCATGTGAGTCAAGGTGGGCTTAAACACAAAGGGTCATAGTCTTGATTGTTTTGAATAATGGCTGTCCCACATTTTCAAATAGATTTGAGAGTTGAAAAGCAGCTAGTGTAACCGAAACAAATTTTAGTTGTAAATGTGAATTTTATATAATTTTTTTCAGCCACGGAAGTCTAGTACTGGACGCAGACCTGTGCTAAGGTTCACCATAATATTTAGTCCTGCGTATTTCCACGACTTTTAGCAGGTCGTCATTCCACATCGTGGGAGGCCTACCAACGCTACGCTTTCCAGTACGCGATCGGAACACGGGAACTTTTCGGCACTAGCGACCATCTATTGTATGAGCAATGTGCCCTGCCCATTGCTACTTCAATCTTGCAATCCTTTGGGTTATGTCAGTTAACGTGGCTCTTCTGCGAATCTCCTCATTCCTGATTCGATTTCGCAGAGAAACTACGAGCACAGCCCTCTCAATTATTATTACTCTTTGAGTGATTTTGAGCTTCCTGATAAAGCCTATTGTCAGCGACCACGGTTCACTGGCAACACACATTGGTCATAGAATTTCGTCTTGAGCCACTACGGTATTTGGATTGAGAAGATTTTTCTCAATCGAATCCGAGGCTTTTTCGTAATCCACAGACGGTAAGCAACGCGGCAGGTTTTATTAGCATTTCTAGTTATTTGTAAAACTTGCCGGAGCATATGGATGGATGTGTCTATGGTAATGTAGCCCTTTCGAAATCCGTCTAGTTCAGGTGGCTGAAAGTCGTCAACCTTACGCACGAACTGTTCGTAATGATTCTCGAGAACAACTAATATACATAGCTGAGAAGTGAGATAAGTATAGTTAAGATAGCTATAGTTAACATCAACATCCCGGTCGGCGGTGTATCGCGTTTCGACCCGGCAGGCTGGTTCTGGCCCAATGGGGTATCTCGGGACACCAGCGGCATCGCCCGGGCGGCCTGGTAGGGTTGCCGTACCGCGGAGACCGGCGTCCTTGGTCGTTGACTATCACCTCGACGACACGTCAGTCGGGTGTCCTCGGGGTGGCGCCGCGTGTCTGGTTATAGTGTTGACCGCGGGAACCACCTTACTCTGACCGGGTTCTGACATCGGACGGAAATCGGACGTCGGGTGTAAGACTGCAGGAGAGTCGTTTAGTGTGGTAGGGCCCTAAAATTCTATGGGCCTGCGGTCTGCTCCCAACGTCTGCAGATCGTCAAGTCCTACATATTCCACCCCACCTAACATTATATATGTCAAATATAATAAATATCACAATTCAGACATATAAGTACAATCGATTCTACAGACAGAAAATATTTTATCTAACCACATGAATAGTGATTTGAAACCAATGTTGGTTCTAAAATATTATAAAATAAATAAATTATTCTAAACGCAACTGGGTTGTAATACATTTAATATTCTAAATGTTAAATTAGTAGAAGAGTTGAGTTAAAAATAAGATATAAGAAAAAAAGTAAGAGTGGATGACTTTTTTTTACACAAATTGATTTCCGATTATGATTACACAATGCAGAGGTGCCGATTTGAAATGCTTAGTAATTATATAAAAATGTATTGTAACCCATCTTTCTAACAAGTGTAATTCGGGCTTCTTGTATAAAATAATGCAAAAATTAATTAATTAATTCACTATTCTTACTTTGATAGCACAAATGTATGATTATTGCCACATGCTATTAAAGCAATAGGTACACCAATTAATGATGAAATATGTTGAGGTGACATTTCCTTGTTTGATATAGTTCCTAAACCACATTGTCCATAACTATTTGCACCCCATGAGTAGAGATCACCACCTAAAAATATTCAAAAATTAAACCAGATATTTAGCTATCCCAATTTTTTATATTATATATTACTGTGAAATATATTTTTTACTTTACAAAGGTCAAATAAGTTAAATACAAAGAAACATAAATCTATTTAATACTTACTGTTTGTTAATGCCACAGAATGATAGGCTCCACAAGCTACTTGTATTACATTTTTGGTTGCTAACCCTTTGACAAATTTAGGTTTGTCCTGAGCATGAGCGCCAAGGTTATTGCCAAGTTGCCCCATACTGTCAGAGCCCCAACTGAAAGGCTGCCCCCATTCATCTATAGCTAAAGAATGTTGAAGGCCACATGCTATTGTCGATATTGTGCAGTCTTTAAATGTTTCCACTAAAGCTAAAAATGTTTAAAATATCAAACAACAACTATCCACAAATTCGAAACAACATTTTCAGTATGTAAATGAGATTATTTTGCGTGTACACAAGATGTTCTCAAATACACAGACAATTGGAATGACAAGATTTTTATGATTAATTCTATGCTCTAAAGATTATATAGATTGGCCACCACCTGATATCCTAATTATGAAGATTAGAATGTATATTTCGCAGTATTGCTGTTGCAGCTTTATTCCTCAATTTTGATATTTCATACTTTATGTTTGGTAAAAAATTACAAAACAAAAGGATCACACTAGTTGCATGATGAAAATAGTTAACAAAATTTAACTAAGAAATATATAGAGAGACCTCATAATAATATATGAATTTTAACTCTTAATTTTACTACTTATTTTTTTATTATTTAATTACTTAATTTTACTTAATTTAACTCTTAATTTTAAGCAAAATAGCATTATTTTTAATGTTACCTGGATTCTTTCCATTGTCAGATTCAGTTTGACGTCCTAACTGACCCACATCATTATTTCCACATGAATATAAATGACCACTGTTTGAGAGGTATAAGCTATGGAATTCGCCAGCTGCTACTGCTTGTATGTGATCACTTTCTTTCCATTTTGATAATGTGGGCTTGATAACCTGATGCAAAATTGTATTAATCAAGTTGTTAGTATGTTCACTAAGCTATGCAATTAAAATATTATAAGGATTTTTTCCCATTAATGGATTTCTGAGACAACCTGAGGGTTTCATTTAGAGTTTGAATACATAACACCTACTATAATTTAAAATGAATACAATTCCTTACATTTTTTACCAATTTTTATAAACATGAAATAATTTAGATAACAGATTACCAAGAGCAACAACAGATTTTATACAAATGTACTATTTATAGCCATTTCATGTATAATAGCCATTAATCGGTAAACATAACAAAAGGCTACACAGTATTATTTGTAATCAAAACATTTGATAGCAACAATTAGAGATGCGGTTCAAATTATCATCCCGTAAGTTGTTCGAATAAACAATTCATTTACTTTACTAGTAACAATAACTACTAACCAAATCAGTTATTTGTGAACCGTCGATGCACAGTTCATGATGAGTTGCATTGCCCCAACAAAACATTTTCTTGTAATTTTGCAATTTTTTTCAATAGCTTGAATTAGCTTGTTATAACCTATACTTTGTCATTCAGTCTGAAGGAATGGAGGTAAATTTATATATTTATAGTTCACCTCAGAATTCTACACTTAAAATTTCATTTTTGAGATTGCAAAAGGCAGTAGGAATACATTTTTAAAAATCGAGAACAATCTTTCAACGTCGTCTTCATCAGCCTGGGAAATTGTCATCAAAATGAAAAAGTCATTTGTCAATTTCGTCAAGTGTCACTTAGTTTTTTTTCATGTTAGAAAAAGCCAAGAAGTAATATAAAACAAATTTTTTGAAACAAAGACTGAAATGATGTCGGCTAAGCAAAGGGCCAGAAACTTCTTGAGTGTACGTAGCGTGGGTAGGCCTCCCACAAGACGGGCCGATGATCTATTGAGGTTCGCAGGGATCCACTGGATACAGGCAGCGCAGGACCGGTCTTTGTGGCGAGGCTTGGGGGAGGCCTATGTCCAGCAGTGGACTGATAAGATGAAGAAGAAGATGCAAAAAGTGTTTTGTTTTTGTTTTATTGCTTAGATGGGTGAACGAGCTCACAGCCCACCTGGTGCTAAGTGGTTATTGGACCCCATAGCCATCTACAACGTAAATGCACCACCCACCTTGAGATAAGTTCTAAGGTCTCAGTATAGTTACAACGGCTGCCCCACCCTTCAAACCGAAATGCATTATTGCTTCACAGCAGAAATAGGCAGGGTGGTGGTACCTACCCATGCAGACTCACCTAAACCATCAGTAATTACATAAATTATAATTTTTCAGGTTTGATTTTTACTACACGTTGTTATCCTTCACCGTGGAAACCAATCGTGAACAGTTGCTGAGTACGTATTTCATTATAAAAATTGGTATCCGCCTGAGTTTCAACGAATGCACAGGACGTCATAGCCTTTAAGCCACGACGACTTCAAATTAACCTTCGATCAACAATTGTTGATCGAAGAAATTAACGGACATTAATATAATTTATTTATAAAAAGAACCAAATTTAAATTAATGGAATCACGGAATGAGATGGAATAACTTCTAAGAAACTCTTTAGGACTCGACAATCCATGTCTTGCGATTTTATTTCATTTCCCACATTTTCGCACCTCTATTAGACGCTTAAATTTAAAAACGCTGTTTGTTGAATTCAGAAATTAACGATTCAAATAACTTGATTTCTCCTATTTCCACCAAACACTATATAATTATCAGGATATTAGAAGTGGAGACCATAGATTATTAAACCAGATTATCATTTTGACTACAATTTTATTCGCGAAGCTTTGTTAGACAGTGCCATAGAGTAAAGTTTTGAAGGGGAAGACAGGGGCTGGGGGACGGAGGGTCTAGAGGCTAGAAGAGAGGGGTCAGGGGACGTTGCTCATACTCCGCCATATTTGTTATTGTGCTGGATTGGGACTTATTTAGATCAGTTGATTAATAAATAGGAAGAAACATTTGTGATGTATTTTATTTATGTTCTTCGTTTCTGTGAAGCTCTTAAATCTGTAACATAAAAGTTTTAGTTAATATAAAGTTATGTTCATTTAGTGATTAAAGATACCCCTTGTGGTAATTCGCTGAACTGAGCGAATTAAAATTGGGAAGAAACTAAAAGAAAACCTTATTAAAAGTGGCGGGGGCATCGAATAGTAATGGGAAAGGGGGACGACAAGCAGCCCCGGTGGACGTGGGATCGCCCCTGCTTGATTGGGAAGAAGGTGATCACTTCAGTTTCGAAGACTCTGAACGTTTCGAAGAAGATTCTCTTTGCAGCTGGAGTTCAGAACCTGAAAGCTTGTGTAATAACTGGCGTGGGTGGCGGCGACCAAACTTACAGAACTCATTTGGAGCTCGCTCTACAAAAAAGACCGTTCAAGGTAACTGAATACAGCTGATCCTTTGTTTCGATCTATCGACAGATTATAAATTTACTGTATTGTACCTTTATCTGCTAAAGATTTTGCGTTATTGCTAACACTTACATTATTTAATCTGAAAAAAACCTTAATGTTATTGTGTCATGGTCACATTTTGACTGAAAGTTGATTATAGGTAGTTAGTTATAATGCTTTGTGTGTAGTGAGAACAGGTGCTCGAAGTCATTTACCTTTGACTGGGCAACAGTTAATAATACCTGTGGCTACAAATCCCTTCCTCTAGACTCATGCTTTGTTTTCCATTCTTTTTGAATATAGATTTCTTAGAAAGTTTTGATTTGTCTGGTTGACTTTCACAACTTTCACTGCTACTCTTAATGAAGATTGATTTACGGAAATTGTTTGGTTTTCCTCTTTTTTATTCTTTCTTTGGAATTTGTAATCCTTGAACTAACATAATTCACTTTATACTAAATGAAATGAAACACAAGACTAATATCTATTATCATTTTAAGTATAATCGTACTAAATAGTATTAATTAATATAAAATATTATTAAATTACTATTTTCTCACTTGAAGAATAAATAGTAGTTTTTATAAGGGCACGCTTTATGCTCTTATAAAAAATAATAATAATCTAATGGAAAATCAAAATTGCCTCATGTTACACAACTTTTTTTAACCTTCTTTTGTATTAACACATTTGTGTATATAATTAGGTAGGATTTAAATGGTATATATAACAGCCAAAGAGTAGTATATAGAAAGTGGGTGGTAGTTGGAGAATAGTACAGCAGCATGCTGACAAGCCTTGTTTTTTTATTATTTAAAGCTTTAAGTAATTTTTCTAGTTGTAACAACTAAGTGGTAGTTACCACAAAGCTACAATAGAAAATTCATGGTATGAAAAAAGATTAAATTAAGTTAAAACTGAGCTTGACACTATTGCACTTTAAGTATACAATACTGTATGCTCAATACTGGAAACTAGGCTGTGACTGTCACTAATCATAAGATAAATATTTTTTGAAAATGCTTACAAGTCTCTTATTGTTTGTTGATAGTACTATGCCAGAAACACTCGCTACAGTACCTACATTACATTGCAATAAGGGTTTAAATAGAATGTTATAATATGATACATAATAGATCTATTTAAATTGGTACTAATCTGTAAATAGATAACTTGGGGATTTTTTTTATCAAAAAGTACAAATGGCCTTGTAAAAATGAAAATTCTATGTGTACTGTACTAAACTATGTGTACTTACTTTGTTGTCATCCAATTGTTTTTTAACTTGAATCCTGGAGTATTTATATATTTTTTTCAAATAATACATACTTATTGTGAGTCGACTATTATCAAAGCCGGCAATGTGACTTTTGGACAATTATTGGTAAATCAGAAAAACGAATTATTGACTTTGTATTCCATTGGCAGTCACAAAACTCTTCTGAACGACATCTTAGATAAATAACAGGCTAAGTATTAACCTTTATTTAATGCAGGTTTTGAACCGTATTCTTTGAAGGAAACGATTATATTCAAATCAATCTGTATTGACATATCAATAACATTTTTTTGTCCGAATGCACAGATTGCCCCCTTTGATAATAGACGACTCATGTGCTTTTTTTAAATAAAGTGAAATCCAGAATTATATAAGGCTTGCCATGATTAACAGGTTTGCTATCCTCTATATTTCTGCTTCAGTTTATTTACAATGCAGTACATGTAATACAATATAATTAAGATTTCAAATGGGCCCAAGTGAATATTCAATAAAAACATGGTCATGAATTTTCTTATCTTAGTTCTTATTTCATGTTACATGATCTATCCTAATATAAGATACTGTTTGCCTTATAATAAACTAGCTGATACTAGCGGCTTCACCTGCATGATCAAAGAACAATGTCAGTGTATTTCCTTGGGAGAAAAAACATTTCTTTTGGCTCAGTGGTAATATAAATATAGCCTACATCACTATCTTGACCTAATAGTAGCACGTTAAAAAATCCTGTATAGTTTTTGCTTCATTTTGATGTGAAATAATTACAAACACATTTTCACATTTATAATATTAGTATTCCATACTAATGTTATGAATCTTTGAATAAGAGCTTAGTAGAATTAATGTAGTAAAATTCAAAACTAATTACAAAAATAACTACATTTAAAATATCTACAAAAAGTAGTATAATATATTTGTTTCAGCAGAAAAGACAGTATCTACATTAAGCGAGCTGGCGGCCAAGTGTGTTGCTTGTCATATACCTTTTGAGTTAGTAGAAAATGTTTACCCACCCGTACCAGAACAATTACAACTTCAAATTGCATTCTGGAGCTTCCCAGACAGTGAAGATGACATTAGACTTTACTCTTGTTTGGCAAATGGATCAGCAGATGAATTCCAGAGAGGAGAGCATCTATTCAGAGATAGAGCTGTTAAAGATGTTTTACAAATTGGTAAACAATATATTACTCTATTACTTTTTTAATGTTCTACACTATAAAATACAAAATGGCTATGTGATTAAAAAATTGTATTTTCATAATTTATTAATGACTAGCTGACCCGGCAGACTTCGTAGTGCCTCAATCGATAAATAAAAGACAAACTTTTGTATAAAATAAACTTAAAACAAACAAAAGGAATCTGTCTGATGGGGGACGAATTTTGTTTTCCAAGGGAAAACAAAATTGTTGTTTTTATTTCATTCCGAGCATTTTCATATTTATCTACCTTTTAAACCTTCTCTGGACTTCCACAAATAATTCAAGACCAAAATTAGCCAAATCGGTCCAGCCGTTCTCGAGTTTTAGTGAGACTAACGAACAGCAATTCATTTTGATATATATAGATTTTTATCATAAAGTAGTTCTTCTGCTACTGAGTTCAAATCTACTGATATTGACTATGCAACTTATTTTTTTATATTTGCAGGTTTTCATTTATCTGCCACAGTTGTACTTACTATGCCTCGTGCCCAATTTAATGTCGCAGTAACGTTTGACAGACAGAGAATTTCGTCATGTAACTGTACTTGTTCATCTACAGCACACTGGTGTTCACATATTGTAGCTGTATGTCTGTACAGAATTCATTTGGTAGGTATTTTTGTTATTAAATCATGATAAATAAATAAAATATTAGAACAAGAAAATCTACCTATTTAGTCTTTTTGTGTTGTATACGATGTACTATATTTTGTATATAGATATGTTCAATGAATTAGTAAAGTTGAACAGCAAATTTATGTTTGAGGAATAAAATTTTAATTTAATCTAAAATTGTAATTTTGAAAGGGCCAAAACTGGAAATTTCACTGAAATATTATGTACTAATTTAAAAATGCTTTTCAATAGCCTACACAAGTATGTCTTCGTGCACCTGTATCTGAATCATTACAAAGGTTAAGAAGAGACCAACTGCAAAAATTTGCACAGTATCTTATATCGGAACTACCTAGACAAATACTTCCGACGGCACAGCGTATTCTGGATGAATTACTGTCTGCCCAACCAAATCAGATAAACACGACTTGCGGGGCGCCAGATCCGACCGCTGGAGCATCAGCCTACGAATACACATCCTGGTTCTTAGATGAAAAGACCTTGCATAACAATATCAATAAAATATTAGTGAAGTTTTGTGTTCCAGCTCCTATTGTTTTCAGGTATGTTTGCTTGTGTGTGTATAAAAATTTTATGTAATTTTTAGTCACTGATGAATTCAAAAGATGTGTGCGTTTTTTAAATATTCTTATTTATTTTTAGTGATGTAAATTACCTGAGCACAAGTGCACCACCAGCGGCATCTGAATGGTCATCTCTCCTTAGACCTCTAAGAGGGAGGGAGCCAGAAGGAATGTGGAATTTACTCTCTATAGTTAGAGAAATGTTCAAGAGAAACGATAGAAATGCTATACCCCTGCTCGAGATAATAACGGAAGAAGTTATGGCTTGCGAACAGGTAGATTTCATAAATTTACGAAAATCTGGATGTTTTGTCTTAGATAGATGGCTATTTATTATAATGCTTAATTGCTTTAGGTTAATTTTTCAAAAAAATTACAGGAAATTCTGTAAAACTCTATTAAAAATAAGAAAACCCATGTTTTCTGCACTAATATTGTTGTTGCATATTAGTTATAGTTTTAAAAACATTTTCAGATCATTATATGGTGGTATACGACGAAGGCATCCTTAGTGGCTTGGGGTGGTGGAACAGGAGGTAAACATGGCGGCGGTTCAGGCAACTCATCAGCCCAGCACGCCTGTTCATCTCTCTGTGATGAGGTATGCTAAACGTATTTTGAGACCATTATTTCTTCTGATACTGTCATTGGCCATGGACAGAGTAATTTTCCCATTAATTGTCACACATCTTGATTTGCTAATTATTACAGTGAAAATACTTAAATGTTTGACTTGGGTTTTGATCTTCACGATCATAGGTATTAGATAATCGCAAAACTCTACATCTATTCTATCTATTCTATTCTCTACATCGATAAATCATAAATAATAACTGGGAACAAATCACGCACTGTCATCCGACCCCAAATTAGGGTTCTTTGTGTTATGGGTACAAGATACTGATAAACATACTTATTTATATACATAGATATTAAGACCCAGATAAAGTGCAAACAAACCTGTTCATCACACGAATGATTGCTCGACATTTGAATCGAACCCACAACCCTCGGTCTAGCAGTCAGAGGCGCTGACTATTGCACCACCGAGTCAGTCTAAGTTATTGTGTTTTTTTTTTCTTTGGCGAGTATTTCGATTTTGTCACATATAAAATTATAAAATGGTTGGCACCACTGTCAAAAGTATGTTGACATACTGCAGACTCATTTACCCAGTTATTGTTTACGTCCGCAATGTGTTCTCTAACTCTGACCGAAATGTGTCTTAGTGTGTCCAGGTTACGAGAGCCCTGAGAAAAGAACACTGACTTAGTATATATACTACACATTATACCAGGGGTCGGCAACCTGTTTGTCCTTAAGGGCGCAATACTAAATTTGAAAATCACCGAGGGCGCATATTTTACAGATAACCAAAAGGTATAAATAGGCATTAAAAAAATAGATTTGTTATAACTTTATGTTATTGGCGTCATACATAATGATACATATAATTCAGTGTGAAACTTGGGTGTCCTTATTTTCAGCTAATTTCTTATAATTGGGAATATAATTAGAGTTCCCGGTCCTTAAACTATTATCTAAATGAGAGTAATTAAGCTTTGTTCGGTATTGAAAGAAAATAATTATATCGGATTACTTGGTTGTTTTAAATGCACGGTCTACGCGTGATCTATGCGAAATACGATCACACACTAACAAAAAATACGTGCGTTTTATTAGATACGCTCAAGGTTAGCAAACTGCTAATCTATGCACAATTCTAAACTCAACTGACTACTTGCTGTATATCGCCGTTTGACAAGAGTAAGGAAACCGCTCTGGCTGTCATACATTTACATTCAAGTCAAGTGAGGGCGCGACCCCTGCATTATACCATTTGTAAAATTTAATATCCACAGGTGGTTGTACTGTGGCGACTCGCTGCATTGAACCCTGCGCTCGCGCCGCACGAACGGGACACACTGCACGAACAATTCGTTCAGTGGCATTCCAAAGTACTTGATAAGGTATTAAAATATTAATTTATATTATACTAGCTGACCCGGCAGACTTCGTAGTGCCTCAATCTATAAATAAAAGACCTAAGCTTTTGTATAAAATAAACTTAAAACAAACAAAAGGAATCCGTCCGACGGGGGACACATCAAAGGGAAAACAAAATTGTTATTTTTATTTAATTCCGAGAATTTTCATATTTATCTACCTTTTAAACCTTCTCTGGACTTCGACAAATAATTCAAGACTAAAATTAGCCAAATCGGTCAAGCCGTTTTCATGTTATGTCGTGACAACGGAAAACGGGTTTCATTTTTATATATATATAGACTAGCGACCCGCCCTCGCTTCGCTCCGGAAACTGTAATTTATTATTGATTTCACCACTATTTAATGGATGTTATTATACATATAAACCTTCCTCTTCAATCACTCTATCTATTAAAAAAACCGCATCAAAATCCGTAGTATTGCGTAGTTTTAAAGATTTAAGCATACATAGGGATATAGGGACTGAGAAAGCGACTTGGTTTTATACTATGTCGTGATTATTTCTTCAATAATAAATTTACACATACAACTTCTCGAACGAAGTTGACGGCTTGCTCCGGTACGAGTTGAACAATAGAAATCCTTATATAACAAAAAACCTAATGTAATTTTTCCTAAAGTGACATGTAAACTTATATTGACAAATATCGCTATTGTCCGGAAAGGCGAAAGTTAAAATACGAATGCTAAATTGTTATTTATTTGTTTAAAATAGTTTATGTATTTTTGAATTTGATACAATAATGATTAAAAAATATATATAAACAGGTGGCGAAGAATCGTAACAACCACATAGGCACATCCTCTTCGTCTTCGTCGTCACATTCGCGGCACCCGAGATCGCATTCGCATCCCCCTTACATCAACGGGATCAGCGAGAACGAAGTCTTTCCCGGCTTCACCCCGGCCATGGAGGCTTGTTTCCTCGAGTGGGATGATTACCCAATTCCCGGAGTGACCTACACGAAAGACTTGAATCCCTTGTATCATAGTCCGTTCACTATTTTCCGCCACGCCGATAAGCAAAGCGAAAACGTTCATCAGGTATGTAATTTAATAACAGTCAAAGTACGTATTTGTTATTTAATATGTTTTTTAATAAATTTTATTTTCAATTGTCAGGTGAATTCATCAAAAGCAGTACTTAACAATGAAATGTCATTAAGCTATAGACTGACAAATCCCGATCCGTCTCATGTACACAGAAATTTAATGCACAAAATTAGTAGAATTAGTGTTGATTTGGCTGTGCCAGGAACATCAAGTCAGGTGTGTATTATTTAATTGATGATATTTAATCAATTCAAAGTCACCATTTTATTAGTACTAAATGAATGAAATTATTTTGTAGCCGTGTGGGTCCGGACAAGGACCCAGTGGTGGGCCCCGTGATGGCAGCGGTCACAGCGATGGCAATCACTCTAGTGTATCATCAGAAGGTAATTTATTCTTAAGTATTACATTAAGTAAGTGTGCACGAGCAGATTTCGTAAAGCTAGCTGGCACCCCTAGGGCCAAACGTTCCAAATCCACACAAGTTTGAGCTAACTTTTACGCTATCGATGATGTTATACAAGTCGTATCAAGTACACTGAAGTAATTTTCCATTACGATTCGAAATAAATTACGAGGCCATAAAATTATATTCGTCGGAAGGTGTTGGTTCATATATGTGTTTAAATGTTGTTGCATGGTGATTAAGAAATAAGGTGTAGCGGTCCGAAAGCAACATGATTATAGCGCCGCAAGATTCATAAATGTTTTAAGATTTAGATGTAACTATATCGTATATATCCCGACTGAGACACTGACGTATTTCTCCCATAAAATTTGTAATTGATTAATTGGACATTGTTTGCTCGTACATTCCTGTTGTGAAATGCAGCATAGACACCTTACCCTAGGTGCGTTACTAATCACCGTTATTGAATTTTCACATCTGAAAAAAACACTGAAATTGGTAAAATGCAAATTTTCCCACGACATAACTTTTCACGTTTTTCCCAAAACTTCAAAGTAACGATTGATAGGAAGCTTGCATAATAATAACTGTTGTAATTTCAAAGAAGTAATGCTGTATCAGGTTTCTGTGAGAACGAAGAGGAGATGCAGGCGAGCGGCGGCGACACAGACTCGCACTCGTCGAGCTCCCCGAGCGCCTCGTCCGACGACGCCACACGGCGCATCTCGCAGGACGACTCTGTGTCCGACGACGAGTGTCAGCTGTACTACTACGACTCGGCGGCCGCTAGACGCCTCGAACTTAACTCTGCCTCAGTAATATTTTTTATATTTATCGCGTTACGAAGGTGTTAAATAACGGAATAATCAAAAGCTACGACATCCTTCGAATGTCCACACTACGATCGTGTGATCTCGGTCTGGATTCGTCCGCTTTGGGTTTTTGGGTATGCTACTGAATCTGTCAATGGAAGTATTCCGAGGCACTAATGAAGATCATTATGACCGTTTCCATTCTAACGTCGTTCCACCCGATATTGAAGCAAATGGCATTAGTTTAACCGGGAATAACTTGTTTGCGTACAGTACGTATCCGGAGACCTTTTATCCCTTGCTGTATAAAACTGTGTTTTAATATGTATATTGCTGCTCTAAATTCCCCGATATATGTTTTTGTTTGCGTTAAGTAGATGAAAGAGCTCCAGGGTCTACCTGGTGTAACCGGATACCAGAACCCATAGACAACACAACCTGAATGCCACCCAAAGACATGAGGTCGAAGTTTCATATGTATTGTAGGATGACTTGCCTTTCTCCAAATGAAGATTAATGAAAAAATCGTGACAGGCGGTCGCACGGTTCTGCCTTTAATATTGTCAACGTCCATGAGCACCGGTGACTACTCCTCATTAGGTAGGTACGGACCACATGCTCTGGAAACCCTTCAAAATCGATGAAAAATATTTAAAAAAACGTAGAAATCGACAACACCGTCCATAAGTCTGCAAATTGAAATATTTTCAGAAAACACCAAAACCCGAATCAATGACTCATGTTAGAAATTACTTCGAAAACTTCAAACATTTAATTTTTGCTTTGTAGTACAGTAGTGCTTTCCACTAATGAATCCGTGTTTCGACAATCTCTAACTACGACTATTACTATTAGTCGAGGGCTCATGTACTATTTGTCCAAAATTCAGAGGATAATAGACAAATTATGACATTTCAGTACCATAGCAAAGTCCTCTATACCTTCAAGTGTTTTTTTTTTTATTACTTAGATGTGTGGACAAGCTCACAGCCTACCTGGTGTTAAGTGGTTACTGGAGCCCATAGACATCTACAACGTAAATGCGCCACACACCTTGAGATATACGTTCTAAGGTCTCAGTATAGTTACAACGGCTGCCCCACCCTTCAAACCGAAACGCATTACTGCTTCACGGCAGAAATAAGCGGAGCGGTGGTACCTACCCGTGCGGACTCACAGGAGGTCCTACCACCAGTAATTACGCAAATTATAATTTTGCGGGTTTTGATTTTTATTACACGATGTTATTCCTTCACCGTGGAAGTCAATCGTGAACATTTGTTAAGTACGTATTTCATTAGAAAAATTGGTACCCGCCTGCGGGATTCGAACACCGTTGCATCGCTAGATACGAATGCACCGGACGTCTTATCCTTTAGGCCACGACGACTTCATAAAGAAAGTGTCAAGATCATCTGACGGAATCTCGAGATAATATATTAAACTTGACCAACAATCAATGCCTATAAGTGACTAGTAAAAAATAGTAGCTCAATGACGCTAGTGTCGCCATATACGAATCTTAATTTAGCTGAACTGACTATATCATTCAGTTCACCTATTACACATTATAACATTTTTGGAAGGCTTAACGACGGAGGGAAGATCTTCCACCGAGCGGGTGATATTTGCTCGGTAGACCGATGGACGACGGTTCAAATGTTGTATATATGCAAGCTTGTCTTGAAAATGTCGTAAGCGAGATTCAGGCATCTGTTAAATATGTTGCGTTGTATGATGGCTATCCGCCACACATTAATACATAAAAATTCATCAAAAGGGGAGCAGTATTTTTTATCTGATATACAAAGAAACAAATAAATAGACAAATATATTAAATAAATAATATAAAGTTTATATTGTAAACTTATTCCAAATTAACAGCGTCAATGGTACATGATTTTTTTTATATCTATATTTTTATTGCCTTTGTAGGCAGACGAGCATACGGCCCTCCTGATGTTGAGTGGTCACCGTCGCTCATGGACATCAGCAATGCAATAATAATAATTTTGAATTAAATGGTAACTTTCGTGGGTTGAATGTATAATAAATACTGCAGGGCGGCGGCACTAGTTCGTCGTGGACGGCGTCTGGCTGGGAGTGCGGCTGGGAGGTGCAGTTCGCCCGCGCGGAGGGTCTGCAGGCGCACGGGCGGGCGCGGGAGGCGAGCGCGCTGGGGGCGGCGCTGGCGCGGGAGCTGCTGGCGCGGCCGCCCGTGCTGCACGCGCCGCACGACCCACGCCGGCCCCGCAAGAAGCACGCCGTCTCGCCGCGCCTCTGCGCCGCCTCGCACCGCCTCTCCTGTCTCGCCTCGGCCACGCTCGCCAAGTGCGCATTCCTCTGCACGGTCAGTACTCATTTGCTTCAGCTTTGCTAGTGGTCCCGTAGTGGTATGGTCCGGTCACCGTTCTCGTCGAACCCGTCGCTTGCGACGAAGGGCTCGACGAGTAAATTAACCTTCAGACACAGCCCACTGAGTTTCTCGCCAGATCTTCTCAGTGGGTCGCGTTTCCGATCCGGGGGTAGATTCTGCGAAGCACGGCTCATGCTAGGGTTCGTGTTAGCAACGTCGTCAGGTTTGAGCCCCGTGAGCTCACCTACTAGTTAAGGCGACGCTGATATAGCCTCTCAAGACTATCAGCTTAGGTAGGAAAAAAAAAGTGGTCCCGCAGTAGTCGATTCGTCTATCTATACATATAAATAAAAGTGGAGTGTCTGTTTGTAATATTGAAATAACAGCTTTTTACTACATGCATATCTATATATATAAAAATGAATTGCTGTTCGTTAGTCTCGCTAAAACTCGAGAACGGCTGGACCGATTTGGCTAATTTTGGTCTTGAATTATTCGTGGAAGTCCAGAGAAGGTTTAAAAGGTTTAAAAAAATATGAAAATGCTTGGAATTATATAAAAACAAACAATTTTGTTTTTCCTTAGATGTGTCCCCTTGATGTGTCTTTTATTTATCGATTGAGGCACTACGAAGTCTGACGGGTCAGTTAGTATGAATATAATATACGGTACATACACCAAAATAATTTTTTTATCTGTCAGTCTGTCTGTTTGTTCCGGCTAATTTTGACGGGACTTTCACTGATATGTAGCTGATGATATAAGGAGTAACTTAGGCTACTTTTTTTAGACTAGTCAACCGCGGTACGACAATAACCGCGGGTAGCATCGCGGGACTCAGCTAGTGATTGATAAAAGTTTAAACATTATTATGGTTCTATTGTCAAACACTATTATAATTCTATAATATAATCACATATTTCGCCAAAAGTACACTATAGATAAATAATATTAAAGACAAACAATATTTATCTACTGTCAATTTGACCACAGACTTTAAACAATAACAAAAGTTTGACAATTGACAAACAAATAGTTTAATTATGTGTTGTAAATACATGGTATAGTGTGTAAGGTTTTTTTATGGATTTAATGTATATTTTATGCATAATAAAAAAAAATGCATTCTACACTCTTCTTTCTCTCTTATATTCTCTATAAGTGCGGGAAATTTTTACAAAGTTTTTGCTTCACGTATAAATATATAGATATTGGTGGTAGGACCTCGTCCGCACGAGTAGGCACCACCACCCTGCTTATTTCTGCCGTGAAGCAATAATGCGCTTCGGTTTGAAGGGTAAGGCAGCCGATGTAACTATAATGAGACCTTAGAACTCATATCTCAAGGTCGGTGGCGGCATTTACGTCATAGATTTCTATGGGCTCCAGTAACCACTTAACACCAAGTGGGCTGTGAGCTCGTCCACCCAACTAAGCAATAATTTTTTTTTTTACATAATTGTTGTTTTCTTGTCTTAATTATAAAAGTTATAAAGTAGCAGTTAATTTATTTTAATTTTAACATAAGTTTACCGTTAACCGGTGCTGTGGACAACACAGCCGCAATGCCACTTCTGTCTTTTGAGATATGACGTCGAATTACTTACTCTTTAAACTGAACACAACTTTTTTTGTGCAGAAATAGGGAGGGTCACCCCCACGAAAACTATGTGATTGAAATTATACTTTAAAAACAAAAACAGTAGAACGTCGTTATCAAGTTAATGAAGCAGTGTTCAAATTGTATTTATTTGTCCAGGTCCTGGCTGAGTTTAGTGAACATCACGAACTTGCATTCAGAGTGGGTTTGTTCGCATTAGAAATGGCGCGTCCGCCGGCGAGCACTAAAGCGCTTGAAGTCAAGTTAAATAATCAAGAGACCGAGTTGGTGGCTTTACTTAAGAAGTTACCCACAGGGGCGGAACAATTGACATTGGCCCGAGAAAAGGCGGAGCAACTACGCGATGGAGTTCTGAAGTAAGAGCAAAATTACGCACTTCACTTATTTTAACTAGTGTGTCTCTAAGAAATCCTAAATAATTACCAAAAACAAGTAAAATGAATCACAATCATGGTCTTTTAATCTAGGCAAAATGAAAATAAGTAGATTAGTATGGACCTTTGGCCAAATCGCGGTTGATCAACTACCGTGAATTGATGAGTGTTGCCAGCGCAGTAAAAATATCCGTATGGTACAAATTGTAAAACAATATTCCAAATTAAGGGAATGTTAAAGGAGGCTGTCGTCAGTATTGCAACAAAAAAGATCTTGATCGTTATTTTATTTCGAACTAATGTTTGCAAATTGTTGTTTTAACACTTTCGAATCACCTTCCGAATTATATTTAACATTTCCGGAAAAGATAAGTGATCTTCGCGAAACGACTAAACTTCGTTTAAGTGTTTCAGTTTGTCTATCAGGTATTATTATAACACGTCTGTTATAATACGTGAACGTTAAATTGATGGCGCGTGATATGCGCGAGGATGTTTTTTTTTATTTTTTTATTGCCCTTGTAGGCAGACGAGCATACGGCCCACCTGATGGTGAGTGGTTACCGTCGCCCATGGACTTCAGCAATGCCAGGGGCAGAGCCAAGCCGCTGCCTACCAAAGTTTTTCATAGTCATAGCCACAACGATGCATGTCCGAGCTAACTCGTAGAGAAATGTTTTTTTTTTATTTATAGAAGGGTGGTAATTTACCGCCATTAATGTCACCATTAAACTTTGAACATGGCGTTAAACCCTAACTTGTATAGTAAGCGTGCGGGCTCACTATAATGAGTACGGACGCAACTTATATTTTTTGCGATAAGATATTTGAACAACGATCTAGACGCTCTGATTGCTAAGAGTACACAGGGCATTTTATCCTAAAGGCCACTAAACCTAAATGGTATAATAATATAACAACTGCTTCTGTCCTCCCAGGAACCGAGGTCCAGCTCTTTTGCCGATTGCCTTGGCGAGTTTCCTATTCGAAGTTCTTGTACTGTCTGCGACTGATAAAGAAAACAAACACCCTGTAAGTATTGCCAATTAAGATACACAGATTTTCGAGAAAATAATTCCTTACACGAGATTACTCTACGCTTTTAAATCACCATATATGTAATTTTCCGCCTCGCTTAATAAGACAATAAGGCGTTGTTGGATCGCGCCCTTATCAATTAAGTATTTTAATAATAAATCCTTTAAATTCATACAGTGTTTTATATTTTTAATACACGAGTTTATAGGTTGAAAAATAAAACATTAATCGATCGTTACATTTCCAGGCACGGTTAACATCTGACGAAATGCTCGGATTCGAAGCAGCCGTAGCGGCGTTGGGACTGAAAGCGAATGTTTCTGAAGCAGAACACCCTCTATTATGCGAAGGCACGAGGCGGCAAAGAGGAGAATTAGCTCTAACATTGTTATCGTTTTACAAGGACGATCCTGTTAAGTTGGCTAGAATTATGAATAAGGTATACAAATTCACCGGTTTTCATTTGTTTACGGATGATTCTTTAAATCAGGTTTATAAAAAGACAACCTTTAAATTCAGTATGAATAAAGTTGATTTTTACCATTATTATATTGGTAAATTCGATATTTACATTCGAGAGTTATCGTTATCGGCGTTACGATAATAATACATACAGCAGCTTCATTGTAATTTACGATAAAAATAAAAATTATTCAATACTTAAGAAACTACATACATAAGCAATTATATACTATGTTCGTTTAGTCCTTTTCGGATCTTTAACTCGCGTATCTGACAGTTGTGTCAATAATGTTTCGAGTAGAGTGATTTTTTAAGGGATTTTATGTCCTGGTAACTAAGACCTTTAAGTCATGTCTTATTTTAATTTATATTCTTATTTTTATGAAAAATGATATTATGGAGTGAAATGAAATGAAGATGATTAATTTGAGACATTAATCAACTAGGATGAAATGAAATGAAATAAGATAATTGGATGAAATTATATAATCTCAGTAAAATGGTGATCATTTACTGAGATTTTTTCAGTGGACTTTTTGGAGGATCCCGAGAAGTTACGTCCAGCGGCTTTGATTCATTTTCGCACATTTGTGCACTTTCACAGATATTAAACAGTTAATAAACCACCGTTATTACACATTTAAACCTGAAAAACACTAAATAGACAAAATAAAACAAATCACACATCTTCCCTCCTCGTGTTTCCGCCAAAAAGTCGTCGGAGACCATTGATTATTAAATCAGATTAATCATTTTGACTACCGGTAAAATGGGGTGATTAGGGACAAATTCCAACTTGATGAACAATTTTAAGGTAGTTCTTGATGTTTAAAATGCTATATCAGGATCAAAATGATTGAGTCTTGGGGGTATCTTTGTTATCCATTTTAAAACTATGCAATTAGCATTTCAGTTCAAGCAAAAAAGAGTGACCGAGTGCTCGTAACGTTGCAGTTGTTGGACCGCGACATCCACCAGCTGACGAAGGGCCCGATGGTGAGCATGTACTACATGAACAACCCGCGGTTGGCGGCGTACCGCTCGGACGTGTCGGCCGTGCCGCTGTATCCGCCGCTGTACCCGCCGCACGCGCACGCTCACCAGCATCAGCATACGATCCCGCACCCGATTCCAATCCCGCCGCCGTGCATACCGCCGGTACCAGTGCAGGTCAATATGCTTTTACTTTCCTACTTAATCTGGTGGTCTTGAGAGATCATTTCAGCGTAGCGTTAACTAGTAGGCGAGCTCACGGGATCAAATCTGACGACGTTGCTAACACTAACCTTAGTAAGAGCAGCGCTTCGCAGATCTACCACCGGATCGGAAACGCGACCCACTGAGCAGATCAGAGCAAGTTTTATCTATATTTACGTGTTTAGTTTTTGTTCTGTCTGATTTACTGATTGTTGAAAATTTCAACTGTGTGCAAAATAGGATTGGAATCGTTGTAAGGAAATCCTCATTTTTTAAAGTAAGAAAAACGATTCTGATGTAAAGTTACGGTAAGTGATACGCACGTTTATTACTACTTTAATATACAATAACCAGATTCAACTTTACGAAACTCATATTCATATTTAAAAGGCCAGTTATGATTTTACCTATAGACTTTGGTATTTTTTAAACAGGTCCAGTGCCCACTGGTCAGCGACATGGAACGTCTGTCGTTATCGGAGGGTGGGCCGTCCCCGCCGTCCCACCTGCACATGCACACGCACGCTCTACACGCGCCTCACGTCACGCACGTGTCACACACTACACACGTGCCGCACACCACACACGGACAGCACAACACGCACGTGTCGCACGTGACTCACGTGCCCCACACACCTCATTCGTCTCACGTGGCGCACACGACCCACGTGCTGCAAACAACGACCCACGTGCCCCACACGACTCACGTACCGCACACTACGCACCTGCCGCACACCTCGCACGTGCAGCACACGTCACACGTGCAGCACTCGTCGCATTCGCAGCACACTACGCACGGTCCGCACAGTTCGCACACGTCACACGGACAGCCACACATGTCGTCTCACGTAGCCATCACCAGATCGAAGGATTCAAGGTAAACAATTTTTTTTCTATACTAATATTATAAAGAGGAAAGATTTGTTTGTTTGTTTGTATTGAATAGGCTCCGAAACTACTGAACCGATTTAAAAAAATCTTTCACTGTTTGGAAGCTACACTATTCCCGAGTGACATAGGCTATAATAATCTTTTTCGAAAAAAATTAGGGATACTAATATGACTCCCATAACGTAACCCAAGGTGTAAAAAAATACCTAAAATACTCTTTACATCGCGTGCTCTGCGAAAACTATTGATGATAGAATAAAATAATGTACTACGACTTCGTAGAGCACATTATTATTTACGAAAAGTGTCGCGACAGCATATGTCTAACTATTACAGTTATTGCGCAATAAGTGTTCTTTTATTAAAAAAAATAAAAGAACGTCGTTGAAATTTTTGTTAAAGACCCGAGCAGAACCGGAGCGGGCCCCTATACTTAATATAAAGCTTTATAGTGTAACGGAGATATCAAATGTTTTTTTTTTTTTACTTTTGCTAGATATAAAGGAAAACGTCAATATCCGTCCGTGCCAAATCAACCCTCGGAGGCATCCGCCCATTTTATGTTCGAACTTGCGAAGTCTGTGTTGTTCAAAGCCGGCGGTTCGTCCAGTACCAGTCTATTCACGCAGACGTCATGCGCCAGAGAACATCATGGACCACATCGGTAATGTTATATTCAACAATGACCAATATCAATTGACCTCTTCAAATACTACAATCTCTTCACTTTTATATGTTTATTATAAATATAAATTTTTTTGCTTAATTTATTTTTGATGAACTTTTAGGGGTTTACATATGGCGGCGTTTCAGTTAGGCCTATACGCACTAGGCCTACTAAACTGCGTGAGCGCAAATTGGCTCAGCCGGACGTATTCGTCTCATGTTAGTTGGATCACAGGTAAACGAAATGATAAGTAATTTATTCCCTAATGCACATGAATAAATTTATAACATTATTCTAATTTCGTTACTAATTATTGCAGGGCAAGCAATGGACATCGGAGCTCCAGCTATTTTATTCTTAATCGATGCTTGGGAAGGACATTTGACGCCGCCAGAAGCGGCCAGTATTGCTGACAAGGTTATTCATGATTAATTTATTATCCAAATAAATTAATGTAGAAAACATGTAAAAATATACAACATTAAATATATCAAGTTAGGAGTGATTTCCTGAAGTTTCATAGATTCAAGAAATACACATACAAAATGGATTTTTTTGGGTTAAGAAAGAAATTACTGATCTTCAGCGTACACGTGGTGATAGCGGGGAATATCGGAGTTAAAACTATTAAAATTCCTGTTATGCTCAAAGCCCGCGTCTGAACCTCGCATGGACTCAACCGAGGAGGACGGGACTATGACGCTTTTCGCATTTTATGTAAAGCAGACCCATCCCACGGGACAACAGATTGGGTGTTGTCAGCGTCACGATCAATAGGTCTCTCGGTCGATGGACTATCCGAAGACCGTCTAGATGGCGTCGCTAACTCATACTCCTGACACCCCGCTAGGTCAGAAACAGCAAAGTTTGGAATTAAAATACACGTTTAGTAGTTAGGGTGAAATAAAGAAAAAAAAAAACGATCCTTCGAACTGATTTTATTGGTGTCATTTTAATAACACAATTCTCAAAGATCCAAACGCAGGCGAAATTAGGTCATTCCTATTTTTGAAGTGAAACTTCTAGGTCGTTTCTCTTCTACACAGCATTCCATATTACAAGAGAAATTTGATTTAAGGATGAAAAATGCAGAAAAACACTATACTACAACACATCGCAAAAGAAGTCACATTTCTTTCACGTGCCCCAAATTGCACGCCCACAATTTTTTTTGTATTCGTAAACTTTATGCTTAATAGGTTTGCTTTTGTATTTAATAAAGGAAAATAAATAATGGTGTTTGTATAGGCGTCGTCCGGTCGCGACGTGCACACGGTGCGAGCGGCCGCGGAGCTGGCGCTGTCGGTGCTGCCGCACGCGCACGCGCTCAACTTCAACGAGATACAGCGTGCCGTGTTGCAGTGCAAGGAGCAGAGTGACTCGATGCTCGAACGTGCCTGTCTCATAGTCGAGGAAGCGGCCAAAGGTACTAGTGGGTATTACTTCATCTCACGTATCAGTGTTGTTGATGGTTAGATTTCCCTAAATTGTGGCAAAATTTCATTCCTCCTCATTTCAATGGATTGGACTCGGCTGCCGTTATTTGTTACTTCAGTAATATCAGTATCATAATACAGGTGTTTTCATCATGAGGGCTATTCGTAGTAAATTTACATGCATTAGATTTGTTAGACGAAAATACAATTTTTTATTAATTGTAATAATGATTGTTAGCGCTAGCTTATGACTGAAATTAGTTTGCATAAGTTGTCAAATAGTTTTATTGCTATTTTCCGAATGATGAGATCATGGCTCACAGGTTTCAAGTTGATACCGTTGCCCATAGATATCATGAAGCGACCTACATTGAAATATAGGTTAAAGTCTCAAAATTATTGTATAGCGGCAGTTAACAAAACTGGATGACCTGATTGTTAAAGGTAACCTTTGGATTTGATTCGTCATTTGTGTTAATGCAAGTATCAATCGGTTCTATTTTCGAATCTTTGAAACGAATTTCTTTGAAATTTTAAGTTACAAATCCGACAAGTTTAATTGATCATTGGAACAGCGGTAGTAATGATGTGTGCGTTGTGGCGTCAGGCGGCGGCGTGTACCCGGAGGTGCTGTACACCGTGGCGCGGTACTGGCACGAGCTGTACCTGCGCCAGCCGGGCGACGAGGCGGAGCACGACGAGCCGCAGTACCGGCCGGCGCCCCTCCCCGCGCCCCTCCCCGTGCCCTACCCCATCCCGTACCCGTTCACGTACCACGCCTACCCGCCTCCCATATACCAGCTGCAGGTCAGTACAACCTTACCGCTCGTGGATATTATATTGACGAACTTTTCCAGATGTTCTTCATATTATGGACAAATTTAATTTTAAAACACTTTATAATTAGGTATTGCAAAAAAGATACACTAATTTAATATCATAATCAGATCTGTCAAAATAACATAATTGGTTGACATCCCTATTGAATTTAAAAATTTATCTAGCAATATCAACGCCACGTTTTTAAAACAGGGAATATTTATAGAATATAATATAATCGAAAATATTTATGACGATGCAGGTGTAGAAACATTCCACCGAAGTGCAATAACCGAAACGTATTAATTAACTAAATGCGCCGTGCGTTTTTTGTGCTTCTAACTAAAATAAGCTACGGTAGGACTAAAGAATACTAAAGAAACATAATATAAATTCCACAATTCAAGCAGCAGTTTCTTGACCCACAGTATGGTGGCGCGGGAGGTGCGCAGTACGCATTGCCGCCGCCGTATTTCGTACGTGGAATAGCGCCACCGCCCATAGCTGTCAACGTCAGCGTGCATTCCACGGTAATTATATTACGACATCTAACTTATATTGATGTTTTATTTATAGAAGTGACACTTCTAATGCGACTTCCAAGAAAGTTGCGTTAAATGTTTTACAATTATTTCGATCATTCGGTTTAAGATCGAAATCTCGGTTGTATTGTAGGGTCGAAGAATCAGTAACATGCTGGTATTCAGTCATCCTTATTGTGCTCAATGCTTTCTACAGTCAGTATTTTACAATTACTTACTGTTGAAGTTCATTCTTGAGCTAGTACGTGTTTGATTTTCAGCGTAATTGCATTGTTTGATATGAGAACACATACCCTAACCAATGCGCCTAATTTCTGTTTTTAATACAATTTCATTTGCTTTTGTATGACCTTGGTAGCTTCCAACAAATAATAAATGCTAATAATAAATGGTGACCACAGCACGCGCCCCCGCTAGCGGCGCCGCTGCCCCCGCCGGCCCCCGCGCCCCCCGCGCCGCCGCCGCCCGCGCCCGCCAACAGCAGCTCGCCCAGCAACCAGGCACAGCTGCGCCGCCTGCTCTCCGCCTACAGGGTCGGCATGCTCGCCCTCGAAACTCAAGCGAGGCGCGTACACGACGATAGACCCCAGAACAAGTTCGGCAGGTAAATATCGACGGTGATACTACAATAGCGCGTGAATACTCAACAGTCTCATCGTATCGGTCGTATTCGACTTGCTATAAGGCTTAATTTCCTACACTATTAAAAAGTTAGGGCTTATAGAAAATGGCGCTATTGCAGTATCACCGCCGATATTCCATTTCTATGCGTATGTTTTGACCTAATACATAAGTGTGTAACATTAAAAATGTACGTTGACTAGTTTCGATTTGTTCAGAAACCCGCCGTACGGCGAGCACGTGAAGTGGTTGTTGCGGATCTCGAAGCAGCTGGGCACGCAGTACCTGCACCAGTTCTGCGTGAGCGCCGTGAACTCGGTGGTGTCGCCCTTCGTGCTGTACGAGCTGTGCGTGGAGTCTGCGCACTGGCTGGCGCGCGGCGGCCCGCACCACATGGTCATGCAGCACCTGCGCGGCACGCTGGCGCCGCTCGTGCACAAGTGCCAGCAGATGTAAGTGCGCGCCGCGACCAACCAAGTGGCACCTAGTCCCAACTAATATTCTTCACTCTTATTTGTACACAATATAATAATATATTACACGCAAACATTTAGTCTCTGCTGTAATTTTTTTTGTTTAGATGGGTGGACGATCTCATAGCCGACCTGGTGTTAAGTGGTTACAGAATCCCATGGACATTTACAACGTAAATGCGCCACTCATCTTGAGATATAAGTTCTAAGCTCTCGAGTATAGTTAAAACGGCTGCCCCACCCTTCAAACCGAAACGCATTACTGCTTCACGGCAGAAATAGGCAGGGTGGTGGTATCTGCCCGCGCGGTCTCACAAGAGGTCTCACCACCAGTAAATAATCGTATTTCTGTAAATTAACTTTGTTTTCAGGTACATTCAGTGTATACATCAAAAATTGTATCATCTGAACGCAGTCGAGTACGAAGAGTTCGTTAGCATCGTTCTGTCCGCCCGCACGGCCTTCCAGCTCACCCCCGAAGGGAACACGCAGTTCAAGGAATGGCTGGCTTCATTGCGCAGGTGAGTCTTTGCTGTGATCAATAACACGGGTCAGACGTTCATTCAGACTGGTGGTAGGACCTCTTGTGAGCCCGCGCGGGTAGGTACCACCGCCCTAACTATTTCTGCCGTGAAGCAGTAATGCGTTTCGGTTTGAAGGGTGGGGCAGCCGTTGTAACTATACTGAGACCTTAGAACTTATATCTCAAGGTGGGTGGCGCATTTACGTTGTAGATGTCCATGGGCTCCAGTAACCACTTAGCACCAGGTGAGCTGTGAGCTCGTCCAACCATATATGCAATAAAAAAAAATGCCGCAGCCGAAGAGCCGTGTCTGTTTCCAGGTCTAAATCGTGCAAGAAGGACCTGTGGACCCAGCTCAATGCGGCCCTGCAGACGAACGGCAAATGACGTCGGCAGCCGATAGTTTGTACGACGCGGTGCGCCGCCGGCAAACTGTCATTCCACAGGCGATGGCCGCGATGTCGGCTCTACTACCATCTGCACACTCTCTAACTCTAGAACTCGTGTTATTTGTAATTTAAGTACTTAATTATAATAAATATAAAAATAGAGCGAACGCGATTTCGTAGCGCACGAACGTCTGCAATGAAATGACGAGGATAATTAAAAAGACTTATTACCGAACGTTGACGACTCGTCGTTTTCCTTGCAGTTTTGTCTGCTTTAGTTAATCAAAATTTAAGGTTTCGAAGCGTATTTTTATATTAGATTATTAACGAAGAATTAGATATAGTTAAGATCGCCTTTAGAGTTTAGCCAATCGATTATATCGATCGATCGATGGATTAATAACGAATGATAAAGCAAAAAGGTCGGTTCGGAACACTGATATGTATCCCTTGTAGTTAAAGAGTATTTAAATGTAAGGCTGTAACTTAAATTACAAATAATACAATCTGGTCACACTAAAATAATAGTAATGAATAGTTATACATCTTAGAAATAGTATAGACGCTCCTTTTGAGGGTAAACGATCTCAATAAAAAATGAGGACTACAGAGATAACTGCAGATATGTTGCTCCTTTGAGAGCTAGTGTACTTGTCTGTTCATTGTTTTATGGCGCAAAAAGAGACACTTGCAACAATTCAGATTTATCATAAAACATTAATGCTAGAATTTCCTTGTTTAATTTAATAAAATAAATATTGAAGCTCATTATAAGGTTGTGCGTTGTAGGCATGCAATTTGGTTGTAGTTGACTTCTTATGAGACTTAGAACGACCGATCACGCAGAGGAGTTGATGAAACATCTCTAAATTTTTTCTCTTGCTTCTAAATGCAGAATATCAGAGTTGTGTGTTGAAAGATTGGTCCCATTTTTTTTTTCAAATAATGACATGTCCATTCTCTCTTCTCAATCGTTTTTCACCGATTTTAACTTAACTAGTCAGTGGTCTTAGGAAACGGTTATTTAAAAAAAAGAATATCAGTGGATCCTCAATATTTCATAGATCTTTTTTTTCTAATTTAACTTAATCCGTCTTGAAACGGTCCGCTAGTCTTATTTTATTGTTTACTCTGATAAACAAACAAACTTTTAACTTGTACAGATGAATGTAGTTGGATAGCATGTTTTTTTAATTAATCCAATAAGGCAAGAGCTACAAGAAAGAAGCTTAAAGAAAAAGATGCACAAAAGTTTCCATAAAAATAAATAATGTTCCATAAAACAAAGGTATTTGTCTATTACCAAGTATTATAGATTAAATAATGATTAAAAGAAAATTCTGTAAATCTTACAAAAATTAAAACCAAAAAAAACCGTACACCTCTGATGAAAGAAATATTTATCATTTTTTTAAATGATATAACAATTATTGAATTGTTATTAAACTGTGTTCATTGTTGGGATACAAAATAGCTAAAAAAATTAATGAGTTTGCAAATTATTAAAAAAAATGTAATCAATCTGTCGGCGGTGCAACTTTGTTCGCTGCTTTTGGATATTGAAATGTTTTTAATGCCTGTTTGAGTAATTCCTCTGATACACGTTTTAACTTCAACAAGTCGTTACAGACTTTTTTATTTCAGCGCTATGATCTAGTGTATACTACAAATTTTATACGCATGTCATGCTTACGTGTAAAGGGCTGCTTGCATAAATTTTTTTATATATTTACACTATTTTTTTAAAATCCGATGTAAGAAGTAAAGTGGACAACTCGATTGAGATGTATTTAAAGAATTTTATTTTTCATCAACCGATAGGAAATTTAACAATAAAAAGGTCTTTGCAACCATAAATACTAGCCGCCCTAAAATAATACAAATCCGTAAAAGAATAATAGTAAATTTTAACCCAGAATTCCTTTTATTTATATCTTTATGCGCTTACATGAACATGTCCTCGTAGCAAATTATTTAAAAGATCTCTTCTAGTAAAAACTAAGTTATCTTCGTCGCTCATTAAATCAGGTCTCATTTTATCTTTTAGTTCACAAAAAGGTACATTCTGAACCTTCGTTATAAAGTTACGGTGCCGCGGCGTTATTAAAATAAAAACTAATATTTAAATTAATTATAAACAAAAATTATATAGAATTAAAAATTGATCTAAAAACGAATATTAGAATGTTACTCTTTTGAAAGAATGTTTGTATTTCGACACTGCTGTCGAGACACGAATACGCTTTTTGCCTAAATTCAGGCTTATTGTGAATATATTTCCAATATACCTACTCGATATGAATTGAAAAGTTGGCTTAATTAACAAGAGCCAATTCGTATGTATGTTAATTCGTAATTGGCGTAAAGGACATTGAGTGACTTAAAACTTTTTAGTGAAATGTCATTAGACTACAAAAAGTATTAATACGGAATGTAGCCGGAGACCGTTGAAAAGCACAACTATTTTTGATATTCTCTTGTGGAAATTTGCAGATTTCAGTGAGTTACACAGTTCACGTGTTGGCGTCTCGCGAAGATAAATTTAGACGTTCGTTTGATTCATAGTACTTTATTTACACATTTATAATTATATTACTATTATTATATTATTATTATTATATTGTAATGCGTAGTGGTATCTTGAGAGCCTTTAAAAATAACAAAAATATTAATATTTTGCGACACGAGTGCTGGCAACAAAAAAAAAAAACTCCCCGATTGTTATTTTAGATCATTCAGAAGTATTTATATCGGTATCGGTATTTTTGTCAGATAGGTAAGTAAGTGATTCGAATATAGCGCTATTTAGATTACGAACTGTCAACGGTAAATTTGTGTAAGAAGTGGATAATATTTGAAAAGACTAAGTAATTAAGTACGTGTATTCGACGTCGTCGAGAAAACTGGCGAAATAAAAATTATTGATATGACTTTATAACATTAGTTAAGAACTTACGGTCACTCTTTAATTAAATAAGATCTTCCAACTATAAAGCAATATTAAAATATCATTTTATTGTAATTTTAGAAATTTATATCAATGTAGCGGTCTTTTAGATGTGGTCGGATCGTTCGTATTTAGATGTTTTGCTAAATTATTGTCGATAATAAAAGTATATTGTCTACTTGTACGGCGTAGTACATTATTGATAACATGTTATTGAACGTTTACTTAAGTCGTACAATTAAAGCATTATTTATTCGAAAGCTAAAGTTGCTCAATTCGAATATAACACGTACCGACTTCAACGTACCTATTGTATTACATGTGCCTTGACGTGTCACACTGTTAACAAGATGTATCTCTTGAAGTTATACAAAGTTATTTGTATTTCAGCTGTGTTCATTACGTAAAGTGCTTTTTAAGGTTTTACACGATTTTTCATCCAACGCAAAAGGTTGTCTATGGTCAAGCGACTCTTATTGGAGTGCAGACCTGCCACTTGCAACGTAAAACAAAAGAACGAATAAACGGTTGATCAAATTATTCATGTTAATAGTATATTTAATAACGATAGAATAATATTAAAGGTTAATGTTTATCGTCGTGATCAAATGTATATAACTAATGCAAAGGAAGTTACAGAGTCAGGAACAAAAATATAAAGACATTGAAAAGACGAGACGTTGCCAGCCTCGGTGTCGGTTAGATTTAGTTTAATATCTTTATAAATTTAGAAGTTTACATGCGTTGATTAAAGTGTCGGACATATGAATGCTTTCCAGCATTCGGTAGATAGTAAAATTTAGAATGCTAGTTAGTATAATTGTCATTCTTTACAAGTTGAATTGAAAGCTAAATTAAATATTTTTCCTCGAGTTACGACCGATATCTTTCAGATTCAATATAAAAATTCTTAAAAGTTTCACGTTTGAATTTTATGAAGCACCAAATCGCCACGGTTTTTAGCTGTAGCGTGTTCGTTAGTTTAAATAATAAACAGCACTTTGAGAGTTTGAAAGGCATTTTTTTTATTTGTGCAAGGGAACTATATTTTAATGGCCTAAACAGGTTACCGATTTATATTATTTTTCAACATATCGATCGCATAACTTACTTATAATCGGTCGTTTAAAATTAAAATAAAACAGATTGGGGTCCCATATTAAACGAATTTGTTCCTTTGCAAAAAAAAAAGAAAACACATAGTACTTACCATTGAAAAATATCATAAATTGAATTTGCCGTCCATAATTGTTTTGCACATCATCCTAAGTAGATTATTAAAGATAATATTGTCTACTGTTTTTTTTAGATTAATATTTTGAACTGCAAAAACTGCTCTTTGGGCATTATTAACAATTTTTTGAGTATAGTTTGTTCGAAGGTTTCTCTTTACATCAAAAGTGCTTTGAGGTTTTGTCTTGAAAAAAGAAAAAGTTAAAAAAAAACTATTTTTACACTTAAAGCGTATTTAAAGTGAAAAAAAAAAGATATCGTTAGTTTCGTATATATAATGTTAGTGTCTACGAAGCATATTTTATTTAGTTGTTTAATGCATGTTTGTAGAGTTGTAATTCGCCCAGATTGCAGAGTCGTATAGCGTTTCACATATAACCGCCGTGTTCTAAATGATTTGCAGTTCAAGACTCATCTATCAAGACATTAGTTATGCAAAAAAATATAATGCCTAATCAATAACATTTTTGTTTTAATAGGGCCTTATAATGTGAAACTCATTTATATATCTAGAGGTAGTTTGTGAGCGAGACATACATACAAGAATACTATAGATTTTTATTTAATATTAGAATCAGTCAAAATATGGTTAGAGATTGAATCAAGCTAATTAATATTAACTCTTTGACTGCCGTATAGGTCACCGGTGTCCTACGCGGCGCACTGAACTAATTATGTCGATTTCTATTACTATAGCGCCGGAATATCTATTAGACTGGGAAAGACGAACCCGAAGATACTGAGAATGAATCTCTTATTAAGATACTTAATAGAGTACATTAACAAACGAAAGAAGGCAAAGTTAGTCAATCCAGGCGCCTTAGTAACAGATATCGTCATAATTACTTCAATACGCCGCCGTATTTTTTTCCTATCTATGCTGATAAGCCTTGAGAGGCTATTTCAGCTTCTCCTTGACGTGTAGATGAGCTTACGGGGCTCAAACCGGGAGTATTGCTAACACTGGCCCTAGCAAGAGCAGTGCTTCGCAGAATCTACCACGTGTGCCGCGTAGGGTACCGGTGATCTACACCGCAGTCAAAGTGTTAAATAAATGTTAAAATTTTGAGTTTTCATTCATTGTCATTGTATGTCTCTTACATTTCTTCGTCCATAGAAACTGGGATATGCCCGTTTCGTTTGTAAACGTAAGGAACGTGGGCTGATGTTATTGAATTATGTGTTGTAATACTCAAGGCATAGCGTGTCATATACTACGTAGCATCACAGTCAGTTATAGGTAACGGCGATATTGTAGCAAGTCTGTTTAGTTCTAAAACGAAGATGCATAATTAATTTTATACATCTGGTATTAGTAGTTTAATTGTTACACTTTATAAGTGTATTGTCTCCGCCTATTAAAATGTGTAATCAATACCGTTACTGAGAGAAGTGTGTATTAAAAAATCTACGGATGCATCGTTAAAAGTTTTACTGTCCATACTGTCACGTATTTGTTTGGTTATTAGATTGTTTCCAATAAAAAAAAACTTCAATCTCCGAAAAAAAAAATCAGCGAGCGATAGTTTTTTTTTTTTAAATTACATAATTCCTTTATTAAAACAAACACTTCTGTATTCGCTTTGTATCAGCTTCGTTTGATTTTGCCGTCGACCACGTTCACGGTCGCCTTTCTCAACGTAAGACCGAACGCCCCGCTTCGAACGAAACAATACAAATATGGATAGTAAAATCGATCGACTGTGTTATGTGTCGCAAAACAATCGAGATTCGTGTTTCTTTAACCTGTCTGTTAAATGTTACCAGCCTTCGATTTGTTTTGAGACATTCTGCTTTTATATAGAAGTGCCCGTACATTAAAATGTTTATTAAATATTATATATACATCTCGCTCCGTTGTCGCAAAGGGTTGTAATTATAAATATATAGTTAATATTAGTGAAATAATACTGTTTTGCACGATTTTTTGGTTTGACCGTCTGTCTATTCGAGTTCTCGTACTTTAAGCAGGTGTGCACGTTTTTTAAATACTCTTTTAATTATTGTCACTTTCGATATTTCAGTTGACTCATTGTGTTCTTTGATCAGTTGTTTGGTATTTTATTTGGTATTCGATTTCGCTATAATTTGTACATGTCTACTTTGAACTCGAAATATTTTGACCTCTACAGTGTTTCATTTTACTATTACGATTACACATATTATAAGTCCTTTTGGCAACATATTTGAAGTAACATTATTTAATTATTCAATATACTTATTCAATATTTAAGAACCCCGTGTTTCATTTACATCATTTATGTTCTACCGTTAGGTTGAGCATGCGTTGCAAATAGTACAAGTGGTTTTTTGGGTTTTTGAAGGATTATTGCATAGAAATATAATGCTTATTATATTTATTTAATGGAAAATATATCAGTATTCAAACTTGATACGTTTAAATATTAATTTGATCTTCTATCGAAATTCCTTTGCTAAATAGTGATAGTGTTAATATAACTGAGAGATTAGATTCTCATTTGCTTTGAAATGTCTTCAACTAAAAAAAATGACCCGACCATAGATAAGCAAAGTGCGAGAGCTACTTATCTTCTTATTGCACGTCATATTTTATGTAATTAAAGCTATTTAGACGATATACAGCATCTCACGTTTATCATTATCATTTTCTACGTTTCAAATAAATAGTTTAGTTTTCGTGGCCACGTGACTACGGTCATTAGTTTTGTTCACGTGTGCAAATCTACAAATAAGGATGTCAACTGTTGAAATATTAAACGATATTTTGGTAGAAAATGATACATCAAGATGATGTAGGAAATTTCAACCAAATAAACTGAAAACACGAACTTGTACTATTTACTTAGTAGGATTTGCGGTATCCGCATTTCGTACTATTTTAGAATATAAAATTTCGATTCGCATCAAGCTTAGATATACACTCGGGTGCAATGAAATCATACATACATTTTTTGAAAAATATTATTTATTTCTTTTTATTTAAAAAAATACATATATTTTTTAACATAAGGTTAAAGGATAGTTCAATACCGAATTCAATGATACCACATAAGACATGATAAGTTTACCTGCTTGCTGAAACAAAACGACAACAGCAAACTCCAAAAATTGCTCCCTCAACTCACTGCAGTTTGCAAGACCAACTGCAGGTATAAAAAGGCATGTTTTGTGTAAAACGTCATCAGTTGCAAGCGAACGCTTAACCTGATAAGACCTCTAGTGACTCCAATTGCATTTGTCTGAAAAAGATGGATACTACTCCGGAAAAAGCCGCTCAAGTCGTCGCTCTAATTGAAGCGGGCCAGAACCAGAGTGCTGTAGCTCGACAACTGAATATCAGCCGATATTCAGTTCGTCGTGTGTACCAGCGCTATCGGGAGACTGGTGGCTTTGAAAGGCGACGAGGATCTGGTCGAGCAAGAGCTACAACACAGCGCGACAACAGATTTCTTGTAACGACAGCGTTGCGAAATCGTCGTTTGACTGCCGTTGAACTTGCACAGCAGCTTCAACAGGTGCGTGAAGTGGTAGTCAGCAGGTGGACAGTCAGAAGGAGACTTGCCGAAGGTGGTTTGACTGCGCATAGGCCAGCAAATGGCCCTAAATTGACGCCAGCTCACCGCCGGGCTCGTTTTCGATTTGCACAAGAACACGTCAACTGGACAGCCGACCAGTGGAAAGCAGTCCTGTTCTCAGACGAGTCCAGAATGTGTCTTCATGATAATGATGGACGTGGAAGGGTCTACAGAAGGCGCTCAGAGCGATTTTCCCAATGTTGCATCACAGAACGTGTAGCATACGGCGGTGGTTCGTGTATGTTCTGGGGAGGTATCTCACTCGAACGAAAAACAGAGCTTGTCTTCATCGTTGGGGCCAATATTAGGCGACAAACAAGAGGTCTAACATCTCAACGATACATAGAGGAAGTTCTACAAGAACATGTCGTACCATTTGGCCGTTTAATTGGAAGTAACTTCCTTTTTATGCATGACAATGCAAGACCTCATACCGCTGCGATAGTGAGACAATACTTACAAGAAGTAAATGTACCCGTGATGGAGTGGCCAGCTCGGAGCCCGGACCTTAATCCGATTGAACACTTGTGGGACGAATTAAAAAGAAAAATTAGAGGTCGAAATAGTGCTCCAGCTAATCTCCAGGAGCTACAAAATGCGCTCAAAGAGGAATGGGACGCCATGCCACAAGACTATCAGAAACTTGATAGAGTCGATGGGGAATCGGTGTGAAGCTGTAATTCGGGCAAGAGGGGGCCATACTTGTTACTAATAAATGATTTTTCAGTATTTTTTGTGTTTTTTTTTTATTAATCCCCAAATTTTAAACGGTTTAGTTGAGTAATCATTTTGTAATAAAGATTAAATTGTTGTTGAATTTTTTTTCCTCAAGAAAGTAACCTTATCTCCACTTATATGGTATCATTGAATAGGTATTGAACTAACCTTTAACCCTATGTTAAAAAATATATGTATTTTTTTAAATTAAAAGAAGTAAATAATATTTTTCAAAAAATGTACAGATGTGCGATTTCATTGCACCCGAGTGTATTATTATTACGTTCAAACTCTAAAGGAAACTGAGTAGCGGAAAATGGTCAATTAAACTGTTGACACATCCGTGAATTTTTTTGACGAGCCTGACATTGCACTGTGAGACTAGGGAGTAAATAGGTATGCAATAAAAAATTATCTCATCTTCTATCTTCTTTTTCTATATATATAAAAATGAATTGCTGTTCGTTAGTCTCGCTACAACTCGAGAACGGCTGGACCGATTTGGCTAATTTTGGTCTTGAATTATTTGTGGAAGTCCAGAGAAGGTTTAAAAGGTAGATAAATATGAAAAAGCTTGGAATTAAATAAAAACAACAATTTTGTTTTTCCTTTGATGTGTCCCCCGTCGGACGGATTCCTTTTGTTTGTTGTAAGTTTATTTTATACAAAAGTTTAGGTCTTTTATTTATCGATTGAGGCAATACAAAGTCTGCCGGGTCGGCTAGTTTATTATTAAAAGATACCGTGATTGGTCTGTTTAGTTACAATCGTTCTATACCCTCACTTATCAATCAATGTTATTGATAAATAAATCGAATTTTTTTTTTATCACAGGTCTACAAATGTTCAGATGATTTCAGCACATCCAATTCACAGCATAGATAAAACATAATATTAAGATTTGCTACATTTTTTTCACCTATTCATGGTAAACCTTGGAAATTATATTGTTTGTCTATCGTACCCGATTTATTTTATAAGGCAAGGCCAAACTCGCGTTTTAGAAGATAGATAATTTACATAATAAAATATCTCGTCAATGGCCGTTACGATTAACCAATATTTGTGGATTATAATAATTTGAAACGGTGCGATAAAGCTTAAGTAATCAGAGCGAGCATACACGCGATGCGTGATATACACGTGAATTAAAAAAAGTGTCATGCCTCTATAAATAATCTAACAGGAAAACCTTTTCTCAATATTTACAGAACTTTTAATATTGACATATCCCGAATTGTTCTTATACACCTTCTATAACGAATATATTGATTTGGGCTTTGCTAGGTAGAATACAATTAAATTATTTTCATTACGTCAATATTTGATGACGAGTCTTATCCAAATAGTATAGCGTGTATTCTACGAGAATATCTTATGCAAGAAGTTGTTGTTTATGTAAACAACTAGATGTATTTTTAGAATAGTACTGTATTATAAAATGTAGTGATATGTAGATGTTTGTGATTATTTTCTTAATTACGAAAGAGGTTTGTCACAATTGTTATCATAAACGTCATTATTGGAATCATCATCATTGAATGGATAATTGTCGTCATATTATTAGGGTTGTGTTTGAATACTAAATTCACCTAATATTAGACATTTAAAATGATTTGTTTTGCCTAACCCAATATTACATAGAATGTAAAGTAACATTCCAGAAGCCAAAGTGAGCAGTACCACGTATCACTATTTTAGCCCTAACTTCTGAAACCTGTCAAACTAATCTGCTATCTAATGTACATTGACTTTTTCCTATCTATGCTGATAGCATTGAGAGGCTATATTATTATCAGCTTCTCCTTGACGTGTAGGTGAGTTCATGGGGCTCAAACCGGGTGTGTTGCTAACACCAGGCCTAGCGAGAGCAGTGCTTCGCAGAATCTACCGCCGGATCGGAAACGCGACCCACTGAAAAGATCCGGCGAGAAACTCAGTGGGCTCTGTCTCTGGTTTAATTCACTCATTGACGATGCTACGATAGTAGCCTTCTTTATAATATCAAAAATGCGTACAAAAAACATTATTTTTAAATAATACTAGAGACATCCGATTGCGCTCTGCATAGTCTTCCATTATTTTTCGGTAGTACTATGATAGAAACTTTCCCTGGAGTGCCAACCATAATATCATGTTTCATTACAACCGGACCAATGGATTAGGGATGCGTAGATGACAAACATACTTTAATTTTTATTTTATACAATAAATAGACGACCGGTGAAGGCAATCGCTCTCTTTGCTATATTGTATCGAAAAAGTATCTATTAAATTTTCTCTTTTCTTTTGTTATTGACGTTGTCTTTGTCAAACCGTGGAAACTGTTTGAACGAGCATGTGAGAAAATGGCATCTGATTTGTTATCGCCTATTTAAATATAGACGATAAACGATTGAATCTTAATAACGCTCCACTATGACAATTCTAATGTAAAATTATTTCAAAAATACCTAGTCCTGAGAATTACGTACGAACGTAATGGATATTAAATCAGCCAAATCGGAATATACAAGTGGCGCTCGTCGCGATTTTTGAATGTACCCAAAATAGAATTACTAATATTCGTTTCCGGACACAAAAAAATTGTTTAAAAAAAATTACATATTTTTTTTGTGAAGTGTGAAATCTGAGAAAATTAAAAAGGCAACGCTATTAAAGTTGCTTATTTTCTTACAAATCTTTAAATATCTATCTAATCAAATCCTTAAATATCTATCTAGTCAAAGATAATATTTTCATTAATTTTTACTTTGACACATCGAACCAATTTATTCTTTTGTAATCTAAATTTCGATAGGGAATGGATCTCGTGAGAAGGACCTCGAATGTTTCATACGTGTTTCCTATACAAAATTGGGATGTTATCCGCTCATCGTTCTCGTCGAACCCGTCGCTTGCGACGAAGGGCTCGGTGAGTAAATTAACCCACAGACACAGCTTACTGAGTTTTTCACCGGATCTTCTTAGTAGGTCGCGTAGGTGACGGTAACCATTCACCATCAGATGCGCCGTATGCTCGTCTGCCTACAAGGGCAATAAAAAAAAAATTATATAAATATTATTCCTCCATAGACGTCCCTGCAGGTATAGAGGCAAAAGGTTTATGTATCATGTTGACTGTGAATTCTAATAGCATCAAGTAAGCCCTATTCGTATATTTTGAAACTAGCGACCCACCGGCCATCGCAGGGGTGAATCAAGATGTTTTGCATTTTTATAAAGTACATTACCTACAGTAATTTTCATATACATATTAATAATATTTTTCCCAAACTCAAATCAATCTCAAAAAAATTTATATAGATATGTCATTACTTAACTTGATTAACTGATTCATCAACGCAGAGCCAAACCGTTGGGACTATATCTTGTAATTTTTTGAGTAGACGGCTCTTAATTTCTCATATAGAAGAAGCCTTAATGTTTAATTATTCTTAAATAATATATTGGCCTTAACATTTAATTTCATGCTTTTTCCTTGAAAAGTTAAAAAAAGTGGCGGTTAATGGTAAGAAAATAACGCCAGAATACCTTTATTTCCAAACAGATGATGATTCCAGACATATTAGGATGTAGGTACTACTCTATCAAGAAAGTACCTACCTACCGGGAAAAGATCGATAGTTCAGAAAATGTTACTTAATCAAAATCATCAAAATTATAACCTACAAAGTAGGCTCCTTTAGAAATACACTTACACCAACGAATAACCCAATCATGAAAACATTTTTAACGCCTTTTTCCGAATTGAGTTCAGTTTTCGCCGCGAATTCCTCTACATGTCTTTTATTGAATGAAAAAGGGTGTCACAAAGTGGTAATTTGAGCTTAGGAAAAATAAAGAAGTCAGCTGTAGCAATATCTCTTGTGAATAAGGTGGTTGCTCCGTGGTATTTGTTGAGTTTTTGGTAAAAATACGTTCACAATGATCGCACTGTGTGAAAGTGCGTTATTGTAATGCAAATCTAAGAATTATCTTTCGACAAAACTGGGATGTTTCGTCGAATTTTCTCTCTTAAACACTGCATAACGCTTAAATAATATTTTTTTATTTACCATAAGTGCATAACACCGCGATACTCAAAGAACAGTGAACATGACTTTGAACTTTAGTGTTTTTTTCGGTTTTGGTTCAGTTGCAAGGTGCCACTCCGAAGTTTGTTTATTAGTTTGCAAACTCGTAAACCCACATAAGTAATAATGCATTTCATAAATTTTGGGTGGGAATTTACTTGTTTCAGCATGTCCTCAGCGACTTTCATTAGGTTGAGCGTGGAGAAAATTCAGGTCTTTTGGGACTAGCTGAGCGGAAACGTTATCATACCCAAATTATTATTGAAAATGATACGGATCCACCCGTGAGACACAGAAAGTTCGGCGGTTATCTCTCTTAAACTTGAAGGAGGATGCTCAGTCACTATTTCCTTCACTTTGCCTCAGTGGCAAACAGTTAGTTGATCGCCTACTAGAGCGAGGCAAATCTTCCATCACATCTCAACCGCTTTGTAGCATTCATAAGCACGTGTTTTTGACACGTGATTCTTATTTGACACGTGATTTTGGACACGAGTGATACTGAAAACGAAATCCATTAGCGATGCAAAATATAAGACAAATTATTTGTTCGGTGTTTTGGTCTATTATGAAATACCTATAACTAAAAAAAAATATTGTACTCAAACTCCGCGTTACAATGAAAAACAGGTGTGCTAAACTAACAACAACAACAAAAAAAGAGTTTGGAGCCATAAATAAATCATTCATTTACGATATATTATTTACTGAATATATACTAAAATTCGTTCATCTCACTTGAAAATTACGAACTTCTATCTAACGGTCCATCGTGAAATTAAAAGCTGTCTACTGTCAACATGACAAGATTGCTGAGCAATTTGGACTCTGCATTGATGAATTAGTCAAGTCAGGAGAAGTATTCACGCAGTTATTATTTAGAAATTAATCTTATTTATACAGCAGACCATGCGGTCCTCTTTTACAGGAAGTAGTAGGGTCAAGAACAGATACAATATCTGTAAAGTTCGAGAACAGATATAATAACATACTCTTATGTTTTCAGGGTTTTCTGGAAGTTTTATTATTATTTCAATCCCGTGACTCAGATTAATGGTGTTATTTCACATTGTAGGGTATGGGCGACGAGGTTTGAAACAAGACGGGACTCTAGCTTGAATACTCATTTAGGTACTGTAACATAAAGTTTTTTTATTCCGTTGCAACATGGAAAAGCAACATGCTCTAAGTTTCTATTTAGAAATGGAAAACTCCATCAGATCCTTTCTAAATAACATGTATTTGTTTAAGCTTTATATAATTATAACTAGTTGTTTAACTTAAGATATACATTTATCATTTCCAACGTAACTATAGGGTAAACAAACATGGTCTATTTTTAATGTACAATGAGGAACTTAATTAATATCAAGTTGTATTCGTTCATAATCAGGGACCAGAATGCAAAATTGAGGTCAGTTATAATCTTTAAACGTATTGTACATTTTCCAAATAAATATTTTAAAAACTTTAGAACGACTTATACGTTACAAGGTTAATATTAAGGAAATTATTAAAAATGATAGAACATAATATGTTAAATGTAACGCTATTAATTAATAGGTATTTGATTGATTTTGTTCATATATTGTTCGTACTTAAATGTGTACTTTATTCGATTGAGTTGTAAGGTAGGTAGTTAGGTAAACTACCGTTTTTTTGAAGTTATACTTCTTTAGGCGCGTTATGAAAAATTGATGAGATTGAAATTTTACGATGCGCGCGCACCGTGACACAAAATTAACAGAATGAAGTTGCCCACTAAATCGCTCATTACAATACAACCGACGTAACTTGGCGAGTCTGAATATAGCCGCAGGTGAACTTTCGCGCATGTACCTACACTCGTAAAAAAAGTGTTATTAGCATTCATTTTTTAGTAATATAAACGTCAAAATTATTATTTAATATAATTCATACTAAATATTATTAAACTATTAACGTTAAATATTTATTATTCATTATTTAATATTTAAAAAAAGAAATCAATTTAATAAAAATTGGTGATGGTGAGGCAAGTGGCGTATGAAATGACTCATCAAATGCGTGCTTTTTTAATAAGCAGAAAATAACAGTTATATGTAAATAACAGAAGAAGCTTAAATCTTAAAGTTTAAATAAAAAAATATGTATATTATTTACGTATTATGTATAATATGTCATAATCATGATTTTTAAATTAAATACAACTTAAAACATTCGCCTTAACGAACCATGCGGCGACACTATGACACGCTGTCGTTGCTCGCGTGTTCTGTGACTTTAGTCAGCATGTAACGATAATGATAAGTACTCTTTATTGGCACTGATTAAACGTATAATTTTCCAAACTACATTGGTATATCTTCTGATATTGAATTGCGCGTACGCGTGGGCCAAACAATATTTGATAAGCTGTCTTGTAGTCATTGGTCGGATTGAGGGCGTACGCGTCTCCGCCGACGTACCGAGATCTATAAAACCGTGTTATGCCAAATATTTTGTAGCACTTTTTGCTCGAGCGCGGCGCTGTCGCCTGGCGCTTGTTTAACGTAGTACAATAATTATTACAAACTTATCCCGTTTATCAAGTAAGGTGAGTATTAAATTTATTTAATAATTACAATGATTATATATCAATAGAAAATAGCACGTCGCAAAAATTATTTATAGATACATAGTAAAAATTAATAGTTTTTAGAATAAATATTTATAAAAAGCAAAACACAGCTTTTTTTATTTACGGAATGAAACTCAATAATTTTATCATCAGTACTAAACGAATCTCTTGTTTTTCAGAGTATACAATCGTTTACAATGGCTTATTTACAATCAATGCCCAAATCTGAAACCATTCAACTTCGCGAGAAACATGTTGGGTAAGCATTCTACATATTAATTTATTTCTTTCAATTATGCAGTAAACATTTAAATACTTTACTTAATGGCAATATAAAAAAGTAAATTTGGAAATATTTGCTTTTTAAGACACAATGTTTTGTTTTATGTAAACAAATGGATTGTCGAACATTGTTAAAATTACATCTAGTCCTTATATACATTTATCCTTATATATGGTGGTTCTTATATATGGCGCTATCAGTACACTGTGTATGCATAAGACACAATACTCAATTTTTGATTTGACCGACGGCTTAGCCTGCCTGACCTCATCTATTTTACGAAAGGGCTTGTTTTTTTTATTGCTCTTAAAGGGTGGAGGATTTTACGATCCACCTGCTATAGTAGTTACCGGAATCCATAAACATCACAACACTGACTTCACACACTTTGGCACATGAGGTCGAATTCCCATTTGTTTTTTTTTTTTTTTTTTTTTTTTTTTTTTTTTTTTTTTTTTTTTTTTTTTTTTTTTTTTTTTTTTTTTTTTTTTTTTTTNACGAGTACGGTTACCGGGGTCCCTAAGCCTGCCCCTAGTATTAGAGCTGAAGGCATCTAATGCAAAGGTTATTGGATCTGATGGATCCGTAAGGACGTGTCCCATTTGTATTACGTATAGGCTGTGCGTCTTGAAATCGGAAAGAGTGGTACATATAACATTCGTGCGAGCTCACAATAAGCTTTAGTTTTCACAAAAGAAAATCAGTGCCTGCCGTGTGTTTTGTTACTCGGCATTCAAATTAATCTATACGAATAAACAGCTCCTTAATCATTAGAGGTTGAGGTTTAAATCGTGCGATAGGAAATAAAAATTTTGGGGGTTATGACAGTTATTAGCTAGAGAGTTAGGAAATGAGGATAAGGTTTCACTCTTAAGTACAAATGAAAGGGAAGTGGTTATAAGATTATCAAGGACACCGGAAAAACATAAATCGAAAGATCCCGTGGCTGTGCTGTACTGCCTCAATGGAGACATTGCGTTCTTGTTTGATGCGAATTTAGTATTTTAACATGATTAGAAAAATAATAATACGATTGCCTTTGTCGATAAGTACGCAATGTAATAAATAATACAACTAGATTTCCTAATCACATATCTATGTAAAATAATTATTAGATTAACAATAAATAAGGAAGGTAATCTGAATACTACTTTAATTGAATATATTTAATATTTAGAGCGGCGTGCCAACTGTTTTTCCGTTCTTCCCCGCTGAAAATAGTGCGAGGAATAGCACAATTCATGTATGACGAAACCGGCGAAAGGTATCTTGACTGCATCAACAACGTTGCCCATGGTATGTACCATACGAATTATCTTAGAATGTTACTGTGGATTTTTTATGTGTAGGACCTCTTGTGAGTCCGCACGGGTAAGTATCATCACTGCTGCCGTGAAGCAGTAATGCGTTTCGGTTGAAGGGTGGGGCAGCCGTTGTAATTATACTTGAGACCTTAGAACTTATATCTCAAGATGGGTGGCGTATTTACGTCGTAGATGTCTATGGGCTCCAGTAACCACTTAAACCAGGTGGCCTGTGAGCTCGTCCATCCATCTCTGTAATAAATATATAAAAAAATTTAATTCAACAACTCGATCGCCATTCGTCAAACAAGAGCATAATATTAAAACTGACACGATATGAAAATTGTGTGGTTGAAATAAACACGATAAACACTAATTGCTAGACAAAGTGTATTTTTATCTCTAAACACCATCCAAATTAAAAGTTAATTTGATTTTTATACAAAAATACTTTTAATGTCATTGTAATAAGCAAAGTGCTCAAACTCACGCATTCGCCGAAAAAGGCTATGCTTTCATTGTATTTGTAGAGCAGAGGATGCCGAATCTACATCTTCTGTTTCCACTTTACAGTCGGCCATTGTCATCCACATGTTGTTGAGGCTGGTAGAAATCAAATGTCTCTAATATCGACAAACAACCGCTATCTTCACGACGAGCTAGTTATTCTAGCACAAAGGCTCGTCAATACATTACCAGAATCATTGTCGGTTTGCTTCTTCGTAAACTCTGGGTCGGAGGCTAATGATCTCGCTTTGAGAATGGCAAGAATCCATACTAAGAAGAAGGATGTAATTACCTTGGACCAGTAAGTTTCTAACAATTAAATTGTAATTAAACACTGATTATTTCAACAATTGCCTATCAGGTTGGGGGTTTGTTAGGGACTTTTTGAGAGTGAAAGAAGTGTGTATGGTATTGGCGTTAAAATGTAACATATCCAAAGCAAATATCTAAATAACATTAAACAAATTAGTATCAAATATGTACATTTTTGTGGAGTCGATGTTTATCCACAAACAGTATTAATAAATACGCATCAATAATCATTATGATATAATTGACATGAAAACGTGTTTCTTAAATTAATTCAAACATTAGTCTTATAAATAATTAGCTAAATCATTTTGTATTAATTAGGTAGGTATTTTAATTGAATACTCTCTTAAGGAAGAATTAATTTGAGCCAATAACGTATGTAAGTGTTGAGTGATTGACGAGTGTGCGTGTAAGTTAGCCTCCGTGTTTTGGGGTGCTTCTAGCGGATCTTTGTTCCAGCGCGTATCATGGCCATCTAACGACTATGATCGATATTTCACCATACAAATTTAACCTACCCGGAGGTCCCGAGAAACCAGACTGGGTTCATGTGGTGAGTTACCTAATTATTGTCTGGCCTGGATCATTCTCTGAGTGATTTTCATTTAGTTGCGTTTTTAATCATAATAAATACTTAGAGGTTATGTCTAAATGCACATGAAATATGAGTCAAGTATCACTAATTATTCGTTATTTTTAAGTGATAATTCACGTGATTTTGTCTAGCAACTGTTATCTCTTTGTAGTAGGTTATCAGTTTTTGCTTAAACTAAAACAATCCAATCATACATTATAAAAACACCGTACGTATTTACGCCGTAAATATTGTGATAACTGTTACTATCTGTCTAATATCGTAAATTAGACACCTTTTTTTATCTCGTATTTAATAAAATCGAAACTAATTATAGATCTACAAATGATTGTGTTTTTAAATACATATACCTGATCACCTACATAACTATCTCTTTTGATATTTTTTTTAAACTAGACATTCATTCTGTCGAATATACACGTGTTTTAAAATCATCCAGTCATATTATATTCTGTTTGTTAAAAATATTTTCAAGATAAATTCGTTTACACAGGCACCAGTACCGGACGTGTACAGGGGGAAATATACTCATCCGGCAGACTCAGAATCGGTAGAGGAAGTAGGTCGGATGTACGCCGACGAAGTAGGCAATATCTGCAATGAGATTAAGAATAAGAATGGAGGCGTTTGTGCTTTCATAGCGGAGAGTCTGCAGAGTTGTGGGGGACAGATTATACCTCCGGACGGATATTTCAAACGTGTATACGAGTAAGTACAGTTCAATAATCTATAAATAAGCCATTGTGTGAATGGGCGCTTTAAGGCTGTACACAATGATTTAGAGTCAGCTAAAGATATTTCTTTTCTTTATTAAATTTACCTTTTAAACCGAATTATTTGCCCCGAAATCCAACAATATCGTATTGAAACCCAATAATTGATGAAAAGTCTGTATGGTGTTATTATAATAAATACATTAACATCCCACTTAGCTTAGAGTTTAAATCGTGCATTTTGAGGGAAAAAGTAGTTTCACTGATGTCCGAATTTTGAAAGCGGCGTGACTGTCAAAAAGAAAAGAAAATGTTTTTTTTTTCCATTACGAGTCGACATTCCTTTTCTTTTCTAATTCCGAACGAATTTGTGCTGCATCTAAATTAGATTAGCTTTTTCATATATGCGTGCCCATGCCGTGTCGTCGTAGACGCAATATATTGCCAATTGTACTCATAAAGATAAATTCGAAATCTAGAATATATATATCATACTGATAATTGTTAGTAGGTCAACTTAATGTTGTTCTGTGCGAAAATAGCAAGAAACGTTGTAACTATGTCAAAAAATTATGTTTCAAAAGAATAACCGTTTAATTAAATTGAAACAATCGGCAATCAGACCCGAAACAACAACAAAAACAAACATAAAAACAATCAAACTGTAGTTTTAATGAACCGTAAATTTATGAAGATTTTGAAATTTCGTGGCCTAAAAGATAAGACGTCCGGTGCATTCGTGTCTAGCGATGCACCGGTGTTCGAATCCTGCCGGCGGGTACCAATTTTTCTAATGAAATACGTACTTAACAAATGTTTACGATCGACTTCCACGGTGAAGGAATAACATCGTATAATAAAAATCAAACCCGCAAAATTATAATTTGCGTCACTACTGGTGGTAGGACCTCTTGTGAGTCCCCACGGGAAGGTACCACCACACTGCCTATTTCTGCCGAGAAGCAGTAATTCGTTTCGGTTTGAAGGATGGGGCAGCCGTTGTAACTATACTGAGACCTTAGAACTTATATCTCAAGGTGGGTGGCGGCATTTACGTTGTAGATGTCTATGGGCTCCAGTAGCCATTTAACACCAAGTAGGATGTAAGCTCGTCCACCTATCTATGTAATAAATAAATAAAAGAAAAAACTAGTCTTTTTGTTATTTAATGTTTTTCAATGTTTGCTCAACAATATTGGAGAATAACAAATATTCCATTTCCTATAGTGCTATCTCTGTAAACGTTAGATATACTTGAAATACGAACAATGCCTGTTTTTTTTTTCTAGATATGTGCATGAAGCCGGTGGTGTGTGTATCGCCGATGAGGTTCAAGTAGGGTTCGGTCGTGTCGGCACACACATGTGGGCCTTTGAAACTCAAGACGTTGTTCCCGACATAGTCACTATGGGCAAACCTATGGGTAATGGACATCCTGTGGCCGCTGTAATTACCACCCCCGAGATCGCCAAGAGCTTCTCTGATACAGGCGTTGAATATTTTAACACGGTAAGTTTTTATTAAAAATCTCAACGAATACTTTCTTTATTATTTTGTTGTGTATTATCTACAGGAAATGTAACAGAAAGCAAAATGTGTTAGCAAACTGCCAAAAAAATTTAGTGGAGATGTAGAACACTTCACGAAGGCTAACCCATAGACACAGCATGCTGAATTTAACGCCGGATCTTCTCAGTGGGTCGCGATTTCGATCCGGTGGTAAATACTGCTAAGCACTGCTCCTCCTAGGGCTGTGTGTTAGCAAATTGCTTTAGGTTGAGCCCGTGTGCTCATCTAAACATCCGCGTGAATCTGGTATAGCCCCGTAGGCTACCAGAGAATAGATAGGAAAATGAAATGACGTAACACAACCTTCCAACCTTCATAATATGCACGCACCTACATTTACGAAGTGCCGGAGTGCCGGCTAATGACAAACATCGGATTCTAATATAAAATTGTTCAAGCTAAACCTCATATTTTCCAAAAGGGTTTATCGGGTAGGTACCACCGCCCCGCCTATTTCTGCCGTGAAGCAGTAAAGCGTTTCGGTTTGAAGGGTGGGGCAGCTGTTGTGACTATACTGAGACCTTAGAACTATATCTCAAGGTGTGTGGCGCATTTACGTTGTAGATGTCTATGGGCTCCAGTAACCACGTAACACCAGGTGGGCTGTGAGCTCGTCCCTTGGGACAAAGGGCCCGGCGAGTAAATTAACCCACAAACACAGCCCACTGAGTTTCTCGCCGGATCTTCTCAGTGTTTCCGATCCGGCGGTAGATTCTGCGAAGCGCTGCTTTTGCTAGGGTTAGTGTTAGCAACGTCGTCAGGTTTGAGCCCCGTGAGCTCACCTACTAATTCGGCGAATATAGAATAACCCCTCGAGGTTACTAGAATAAGAAAAAAAATCGTGTAATAAAACCCAAACCGCAAAAATATTTAAACTATACATTTGAAACATAGACTTCGAATAACAAGGTCGCGAAATTCACGTATTGTCTATGTGTCTGTGGTAATTTAATAACGAGTGAGCCGTGAGTTCGTTCACCTGTGTACCTACGCGATAAAAAAAGTACTCGCTTGCAAAATATATTCACATACAAAAATAATACAAACGTCACGTTTATCTTGTTAAATCAATCAATTCTCAAAACAATCTTTAGTCAGATAAGCGTGTCATACGTCTTACGAACGATCGGTGTCACCCCTACAAACAATGGATATGTGGAAACGTATTATCTTTAAAATTTTCATCGTGTTGTTTATTTTTAAAGCGCAATGACGTAAGCAATTCGGCTTGCACATTTTATTATCATTAGATCTCTAACAACTATAAGAGTACGCAAACTTAAATAGATCGAGCACGATCGCGGAAAATTACGTTTTGCTAATTATAATACACACTTCAAGATGTCATACCCTTTGTTTTCATCAACATCATGTGTGTTGATACTAATATTGTTTATAATTTTGTGATGCTGTTTGCTAGTTTATTAATATCTTGTTGATTAGAATTAAAACGGCGATACGTGCGGCAGAATAAGTCAAGCACATGAAAACATTCTAAATATAATATACTTAAACATGCATATGTACATTATAATTATTGTTCTCAATGTTCTAAATGTAGGCTATGAATAAGACAGCTTTGTATGAGCAGCTGGATTGAAAATGTGCACCAAATTATTGGGCTTTGCATTCTAGTTTTTTAACATTTTGGCGTTGGTGGTCAATCGAGCTTAGGATCTGTTCGGTATTAAGAACTTATAACATATCACGCACTTTGAGCTTATGTATTTAAGAGCCATGTAAGAAAATAAATTAGGAAGTCTGAATTAAATTTGAATAACAACTATCTTACGCTTCAGACCACGACACGTTACTTTTGCGTATGCGGTGATTTTATTGAAAATGAGATTGTTCCTTCATCGTGATAGACGTTGTAAACAAAGGTTGGATAAACAATTATAAAAAAAAAAAACAATACCCGCCCGAGATAGTGCATATGACATATGCATCATATCTCATACAAATTTAATAGCACCGCAGGCGAGTTAATGCAGGTTCTGTACTTAAAAGAATCTTTTGATTCTTAAAAAAATCTAGAGGAAAACCCCATGATTCCAGTCATCCGCTGCTTACAGGCGAGTACCTCCCGAAATTCATGATTGTTTTATTAATTTCAGTACGGCGGCAATCCTGTGTCTTGTGCCATCGCCAATGCAGTACTTGATGTCATCGAAGAAGAAAACCTTTTGGAGAGAGCGTCACGTGTCGGTAACCATTTACTCAGTCGGTGTGAAGATCTGAAGCATAAACATAGACTCGTCGGCGATGTCCGCGGTCGGGGTCTGTTTGTAGGCGTCGAACTTGTCACCGATAGGGAAACCAGAACTCCCGCTACAGCTGAAGCAAAACATGTTGTCAATAGGTAATTATAGACTGTAGATATAGACATGTTGTCAATAGATAATTGTAGGCGATTGCATGCAGCAGATATGCGAATGTTGCGATGGATGTGTGGAGTAACGAGAATGGATAGAATACGGAATGAATATGTTAGAGGAAGTCTGAAAGTGGCACCTGTGACAAAGATGCTGAGAAGTGCGCGTTTGGGATGGTATGTACATGTGATGAGACGAAATGAAAATGAGGTTGGTAAGAGAATGTTAACTATGAATGTGAAAGGATATAGAGGAAGAGGTAGACCTAAGAAGAAATGGATGGATTGCGTGAAAGACGATATGTGTAAGAGGGGAGTGAGCGAAGAAATGGTATATGATAGAAGAGTATGGAAGGAGAAAACATGTTGCGCCGACCCCAGGTGACAGGGAGCAGGGCAGGATAATGATGAATGATGATGATGCAAAGGTAATTGTAGACTCAACAACTTTAGTATTTTATGTAATGAAAAAATCGGCTTAGTAACATAGCGTTCCGGTTTGAAGAATAAGACCAGGCTTCATTTCAATATAATTATGGCTTCCACCTCATGAATTTATTCGCGACATTCACGCGTCTAGCCCGGTGACGCTGATATGGTCGCTCTAGACCATCAGCTTAGGTAAGGAAAAGAAAAAAAACGATATTCACGATACCGTATCCATCCTTCAGGGTGTATGAAACACTTTCACGATGAATTGACTGCTCTCTTATTTATTATCTACTAGTTATTATTACTTTTAGTTACTAAAATTTAGTTAATAAATGTAATATTTGGTTTAATTACAGAATGAGAGAAGAAAAGATCTTGATTAGTCGTGACGGGCCAGACAGTAACGTATTAAAGTTTAAGCCCCCTATGGTGTTTACGACACAAGACGCCGACAGACTAGTGGAAACTCTAGACAGAGTTTTAGGGGAGTTGGATGACACAAGAATATCGAACATTAAATTAGAAGTGAGTTTGAAATTTTTATTCATTGTTAATCATAGGTTTTAATCTCATTAGTTTCTTCTTTAAACAAATGAGGCCTCTTTAGGGGCAATAAAAGTTAAATATCAAGGTTGAATATGAAGGTGTGTGGCGCATTTACGTTGTAGATGTCTATGGGTTCCGGTAACCACTTAACACTAGGTGGGCTGTGAGCTCGTCCACACATCTAAGCAATAAAAAAAAAAACACTTCACGAAGGCTAACCCATAGACACAGCATGCTGAATTTCTCGCCGGATTTTCTCAGTGGGTCGCGATTCCGATCCGGTGGTAGATACTGCTAAGCACTGTTCTTTCTAGGACTGGTGTTAGCAAATTGCTTTAGGTTGAGCCCGTGGGTGTCGTAAATACAAAACTAAGACATTCATTGGTGAAAGGGCAGAAGACCTCTAGTATTGTACTTGCATAGCAATAATGCAATTGATACTTCAACCTCATGTATCAAAGTGGGTGTGATGTCGGTATGCTCCGGTAACCAATTTTTACACAAGCTGAGCCTATGAGCTTGCTACCGCATCAATGCAATACAAAATGAAATTTTTTATTTACTACAATTTAATTTTTTTATTAGAGTATAGTTATCTACACCTTGAGAGGATTACCGCGACCTTTTAGTAAATTGTTTTCAGAAAAAAACTTATTTATTTCAGGTACTAGTCACACCGATCAACACTGAAGTTCCGAAAAAGGAGAACGTCATTAAAAGTTCTGTACAAAAGGCAATCAAGACTTGATAAATGTTTTATTACTGTAATAGTATTAATAAACCTGAAGACTGTAAATACTGATAGAATAATGGATTAATTGTTACATGTTGTTGTAATTTATAGATTTAAGGAATACAATTAAATATTTTTCTTGATAAGAAATCATTTATTTAAAAACTTTTTAACACACAAAAAAACTTAAGGCCAATGACAGCAAATACATTTCAATCTTGAACAGGAAACCAAAGGAATTACTTGTGTAAGAAACTTGTAAATAGTACTTTAAAGAATAGTAATATAAATTATGTAAGAATACTTTATAACTTCTGACCATATACTATAACTAATGATATTAGCACTGTTATTTGATACACCCTATGTACAATTTAAGATTATTTTCTTTAAATATAAAAATCATTCCTATTTACCTGATCAACTTTATGGTGTTGTGGAATGCATTTTTCTAGAAAAGTATATTTTCATTTCAGACATGGGTTATTGAATAAGCATATAATTATTAGATATTAAGATCAAAATCATCCAAGCTCTCTTCAGTTTTGTAAGTATTGATGAAGTTTTCTAGTGTTAATAGCTCGTGTATTTTTTTAACAGTAGATTTTGCTTTTACCTGCCTTTTTTGGTCTTTAATTTTGTGTTTGTCTATATCTGGGTAGTTAGGACATAGCTTGTAGTTTGCAGTGTGATCACTTCCGCAATTTGCACATTTTGGTGGCTCTGTAGTTTTGTTCCTATTGCATTTTTTGTAAGAATGATTGCCGGCACATTTCACACACTTGATAATGCCATGACAGTACCTCTGTGAATGTCCCCATTTTTGGCAGCGATAACACTGCTGAATTTTACTAATGGGTGGTTCTAATGTGACATCAATGTTTAATATCTTTTTAACTTTCAATATTCTTTTTCCTTCTTCATCATGAGGAACAACTGCTAAAATAGGTGAAGAAGAGTTATTCTCATAGTTTCTAATATGCATTTTGTGAACTCTTATTACTGGTATTAACAAGGATTTCAATTCTAATTTAACTTTGTCTAAATCTATATTATTAGGTAGTCCTCTGATGACGACTTTCATCTTCCTCTTGGCTGGATGCCCAAATGTATGGTAAGGCAGTTGTTTTCTTTCCAAGTATTGTAAAAGTAATTTCTGATCATTAAGCGTTGGGCACATTAATTTAACATAATGCTTACTAAAATATGGGTCATATATGTTGATACTCAGTATTAAAATGTTTTTGATATGCCACTGTAAGATAGGGAATTCTATTGGTTTATGTATGAATACTACAGGCACCTTCTGTTTTAGTTTGTGCCACTTTTTATGATCTGGTTGGTAGAGATTGTCTATAACAGAACCTTCTGTAGTAACCTATAGGTCAGTATTTATTTTGCACTTCCTTAGAGCTTGAGATATATTCTTTCCTTTCTTTTTTGATTTTTGAGACATATTTTCTGCGAAATATAAAAAAAAACTGCGTTAGCTATAATCCGTAAGAGTGGGAAACAAAAGAGGGTAGTTTTAAGTTTTTACAAACATTTATCAATTTTAGAATATTCTTCTTGAATAAAATTGTGGTTAATTTGTGATCATACTTGCTCTCTTCTAAGGTTCCGTCACTTATATTATGAACTTCTTAAGTACCGTACATCAAGTAGGTAATAATCTAAAAAAAATTGCACTATTTAAAATGAACTGAAGGAACCACAAACTACAAAGTATTAGTAGTAGTAGTTTTATTTTCCAAATGGAAAGGCAAAGGTATCACACCATACAGCCTAATATTATATATATATTTTTATGAAATATGATATTATGAAATGAAGCTGATTAATTCAATATGAAACATGACATGACATGAAATGAAATGAAATTAATTGAAATGATGATAAGGGATGAAATATAATCTCAGTAAAATGGTGGTCGTTTACAGTGATTTATTCAGTGGACTTTTTGGAGGATCCCGAGATGTTTCGTCCAACGGCTTTGTTTCATTTTCCCACATTTGTGCACTTTCACAGATACTAAACAGTTAATAAACCACCATTATTACACATTTAAACCTGAAGAAACTAGAAGAAACACTAAATAGACAAAATAAAACAAATCGCACAACTTGACATCTCGCATTCCCGCCAAAAAGTCACAAAGTATTAGAGTTGCTTTGTCTAGGTACCGTATATTTTACAGAAAAAAAGCTAGAGTAGTGTGCTATTTCACTGAAACTCGAAAGTGGTAAGCAATCGACTTATGAATCGATTTTTCATTGCTATTGATATTTTTGTTTTGATACCTTTGAAATGCTTGATTTCATCTAGTAATAGTGTATAGTGTATTCTAATAGTGCAATCTAGTAACTAACAACCTGGTATAATAAAATGAATCATTGTTAAATTGGTCTCAAATTATATCAACTTCTCTCATGTCGTTCATGTTATTTTTCGTACAGAATATATAAAAGATGGGGCTGTATGGTGTGATACTTTGGCCTTTCCTGTTGGAAAAATGTAACTACTACCAACTGCCACTCAAAAATTACCTACCCTACATAGGTACCGGTAAAATGGGGCGATTAGGGATTGAGAGGCGAATCGGGAAAAAACCGGGAAAATCTTTCGACGCTCAATATAAGTTTTATATTCGTTGCAAAATCCTCCATTTTTTGTAGTTTAATAGTAGAATGTTGAAAGTTCATAAAACAACTCTGAATATGCATGATAATAGCTGCTAACTTATAAAAAATCGCGTTTCAAATTAACTTCCTGTGGTGGTAATTATTTTAGTGCTAGAAACTTTGCTCTCTTTTATTTATTTGATAATAATAGAAGACGACTATGATTTATAAACGTTATTTAGTGTTTGAACCAGCATATATATTAAAGGTAAGTCTCAGTTGTTATTGGTTTTAATGTATTTGATTAAATAAAAATACATGTAAAAATCTGTTGTTTTTGGGGATATTGGGGACGTCTTAGGTACAAATAACAACGAAAAAGGGGTCAATTGGGATGAGAATACGTGAAATGGAAACGACCTAAGTATAAATAGGTACAGGTTTGTAGGGTTGTCTATGTAGTTATAACAATATTTTTTAAATTTGTTGGTAAAAATCTGGTTTATTCGAAGCGAAATTGGGAATAAGTCTTTAGTTGAAATAGATAAGCAATTTAATATAAGTAAGTCGATTTTGCAGAGACATGTAACAAGATCAATGAAATCTCAAGGTGGACAAAAATGTCTAAGTAATACATAATAAAATATTTAATATTTGTTCAGAGTGGGGGTATTCATCTGATTAATCCATGGAATAACCGACACACCTAATCTCTTAACCCAGATAGAAATATCAGCCCCTAAGTACTTACCAATAACGGAGAAATATAAACAGTTTCTAAGAAAGCCCACTATACATGTTTAAATATATATATTTGTTGTTAATGCACTGTCGATTGCGCCTATAATTGAGGTGATGTCTGCCGTGTACTTTTGTCAGTTTTTAAATTTTTTTTATTGATGATCACTTTGTTGGTGCAACTAAATAAATAAATAAATTAAAACTATATATAAAAATAAAAGTAGTGCCAACCCTAGCAAATTACTCATTTTGTCCCAATTAACCGCAATTTTCAGGTAAATAGGGATAACACCTATTTTTGCATTTTTTGCTTAAACTGGAATGCTAGTTACATAATTTTAAATTAGACAACAAAGATGCCCCCAAGACTCAATCATTTTGATCCTGATATAGCATTATATACATCAACAACTACCTTAAAATTGCTCATAAAGTTGGAATTTGTCCCTAATCGCCCCATTTTACGGTACACATTTTTGTAAGGTATGAAACTACAAACAATAGAGAAATGTAGATCTTGATGACGACTTAGAGATAAAATCAATAAGTAAGTATCTGAAGACAGCGTCAGAATGCTTCTTCAAGATAGCAGCACGGCAATTTATATACCCGACCCAGACGACGGAACAACGGATAACCGTCACCGCCCTAAATATATTGTTTCGGATAATGTTGATCTATTGGCTGTGATATGAGGTATTTCAAGCAACGGTCATCATTTTCGTCGAATGTGACGAAGAGTTCGATGTGCAACTTAACTGACAGACACAACCCCCTGAGTTTCTTGCCAGATGTTTATTAAGTCGCAATTTCAATCCGGTTGTAGATTCTGCGAAGCATTACTCTTGCTAGTAGTAAAACTTAACGAGTTGGTAGCGCATTCCGCCATGTAGCAGTCACGCGATCCGATTGAGACAGTGTTATTCTATAACCATTTAACATCAGATGGGTCATGAGCTCACGCATTGTTTATATACATTTAACTAAAGTATGTAGGTACCATTTTGCTCGACAACTTTTTGCCATCTTGTAGGTAGGGACATGATCCTATTGCTATAGAAATTTTGGGGCTTTTGATCATAATACCGCGACAATTGGTTTTGGCAATCCTCTCGTGATGTTAACCTGACACTGCCTAAAGAATTCTAAAGAGACCGAAACAGGTAGAAATCTGAAAAAAATCACACCCCTTCTGTTAATTAATTTCGGCCGCTTTTTCTCAACTTCTTGCTTTAATCTCATCAGCTGTTCGCAGTAGAGTTCAGAATCGATGGTCCTGCCTGGTGCTAATAGCTCATAATGAATAATGCCCTTCCAATCCCACCACACACACAGCATCACATTGTTGCGAGTTAACCCGGGTTTCTCCACAGTCTGTAAAGCCTGATCGGCCTTTGACCACGACCTTTTTCGTACGTTCTTGTCGTACGTGATCCACTTTTCATCACCAGTTATCAGCTTCTTCAAAAATGGTTCGGTTTCATTACGTCGTAATAAAGAATCACAAATGAGTACACGGCTCATTAGGTTTCTTTCATTGAGCTCGTGAGGTACCCAAATATGAAGCTTTTGTGCACTCAGTTTTTTTCAAATGCGCCAAAACTGTTTTGTGATCAATTCCCAGTTCTTCAGCTACGTCGTAACTACTGATATGCCGATCTTGCTCCACTTTTTCAAAAATGGCATCCGTTTTATCCGTAATAGGGCGACCAGAGTGACGTGCATCTCTGACATCAACATTTCCGGATTGAAAACCCTTAAACCTTTGTGC